GCTTTGAACAAAGCCTCTCGGTCCAGCACTTACGGAGTCAGCTCGCCCAGAAATACCATTGTAATTATCTAAAAGCAACTGTCATTTAAAAAAAAATAAGCAACTGTCATTTTTTTAAATCAGCTGTCATTTTTTCAAAGCAACTGCCATTTTTTGAAGCAACTGTAATTTTTCTTTCTTTTTTTAATCTAATTTTTTTTCCCAGTCCTGGTGCCAAAACTTGTTTTGAACAAAGCCTCTCAGTCCAGCACTTATGGAGTCAGCTCGCCCAGAAACGCCATTGTAAATGTCTAAAAGCAACTGCCATTTTTTTTTTAAAAAAAAAAGCAACTGCCATTTTTTAATATTTTTTTCTTTCCAGTCATGGTGCCAAAACTTGCTTTGAATAAAGCCTCTCAGTCCAGCATTTACGGACTCAGCTCGCCCAGAAACGCCATTGATAATTACTTGCACAACAAAACCCCCGAGATAAACTGCGCGGTGACCACGGTGGAGTACGAACCATGGTGGGCCGTCTCACTGGAATCCAACTACATCGTCTCCGCCATCGCCATCACCAACAGGGGGGACTGCTGTGCGTCCGATCTGGACGGAGCCGAGATTCATGTAGGATATCATGACACTGACTGGAGGAGGAATCCCCTGTAAGATAATTTTTTTTTTTTTCTCTGTACCCCAACAGAGCCAGCATGCTGGGCATTTCTTTATGTCACAGGACCGTTTACTTCAGGAGAACGTTCTTCCCTGGAATTATTCATTTATTTAATTATATTATATATATTTCATTTATTATATACAGTTGTGTTTAAAATACTAGCCGTCAGACCTCACTAACCGGATCAATCGCTGTTTTTGGTGGAAATATTTCTACATGGCAGATAATTTCCTAGCAGGTGTAGTAGAGTCATAGAAATCCAACAGACCCGACAGTCATGACATGCATGCTGCTGATTCTGTGTCATTGAATCACTCATTGAAAGGGGCGTGTTCACAATAATAGCAGTGTGGAGTTCTATTAGTGAGGTCATTCATTCTTTGATAAACAGGTGGCAATTATTGCCCTTATTTAAGGAAGGAAGGCAGCAAATGTTGGACATGCTGGTTACAGTGCATTTCTCTCTGAAATTCTGAGGAAAATGGGTCGTTCCAGACATTGTTCAGAAGAACAGCGTACCTTGATTAAAAAGTTAATTGGAGAGGGGAAAACATATAAAGAAGTGCAGAAAATGATCGGCTGCTCAGCTAAAATGATGGCAAATGCTTTAAAATGGCAACCAAAACCTGAAAGACGCGGAAGAAAGCGAAAAACTACCATTGGAATGGATAGAAGAATAGCCAAAATGGGGCAGACTCAGCCAACAATCAGCTCCAGGAAGATGAAAGAAGGTGTGACGTTCCCTGTGAGGACTCAGCCAACAATCAGCTCCAGGAAGATGAAAAGAAGGTGTGATGTTCCCTGTGAGGACTCAGATCCAGGAAGATGAAAGAAGGTGTGACGTTCCCTGTGAGGACTGTTACAATTAGAAGACGCCTATGTGAAGCCAAGCTATCTGCAAGAAGTCCCCCGCAAAGTCCCACTGTTGGGAAAAAGACGTGCTGAAGAGGTTACAATCTGCCAAAGAGCACATTGACTGGCCTAAAGAGAAATGGCCCAACATTTTGTGGACTGATGGAAGGAAGATTGTTCTTTTTGGGTCTAGTGGGCGGAGACAGTTTGTCAGACGACCCCCAAACACTGAATTCAAGCCACAGTACACTGTGAAGACCGTGAAGCATGGTGGTGCAAGCATCATGATATGGGGGATGTTTCTCATACTACGGTGTTGGGCCTATTTATCGCATACCAGGGATCATGGATCAGTCTGAATCCATCAGAATACTTGAAGAGGTCATGCTGCCTTATGCTGAAGAGGAAATGCCCTTGAAATGGGTGTTCCAACAAGACAACGACCCCAAACACACCAGTAAACGTGCAACATCTTGGTTCCAGACCAACAAGATGGACGTTATGGAGTGGCCAGCCCAATCCCCGGATCTTCATCCAATAGAAAACTTGTGGGGTGACATCAAAAATGCAGTTTCTGAGGCAAAACCAAGAAATAGAGAAGAACTGTGGAATGTGGTCCAATCATCCTGGGCTGGAATACCTGATCACAGGGGCCAGAAGTTGGGGGACTCCATGCAACACAGATGTACAGCAGTTCTCAGAAACAGTGCGACTACAACCAAATATTCATGAAGTCATTCAAAGGAAAGCAAAATCTTCAAACATTTCTCAGTTTATATAGTGAATGTTGGAGTTTGTAAAGAAGAATACAAACACGGAGATTTTTTTTTGAACGTCTAATATTCACTTTTCTTCCATTTTTTTAGAGGAACAACACAAATTTGATGTATTTTTCTTCATGATGTGATTTGGAATAGAATGTGTCGTGTTCCCAATGCATTTGTGTGGATGGAAAGTAAAAGGATTAGAAGGATTTGCAGCTTTAGTCACTTTTTTCAACACACTGCGATTATTTTGAACACAACTGTATATTGTGTGTATATATATATATATATATATATATATATACAGTCAGGTCCATAAATATTGGGACATGGACACAATTCTAACATTTTTGGCTCTATACACCACCACAATGGATTTGAAATGAAACAAACAAGATGTGCTTTAACTGCAGACTGTCAGCTTTGATTTGAGGGTATTTGCATCCAAATCAGGTGAACGGTGTAGGAATTACAACAGTTTGCATATGTGCCTCCCACTTGTTAAGGGACCAAAAGTAATGGGACAGAATAATAATCATAAATCAAACTTTCACTTTTTAATACTTGGTTGCAAATCCTTTGCAGTCAATGACAGCCTGAAGTGTGGAACGCATAGACATCAGCAGACGCTGGGTGTCATCCCTGGTGATGCTCTGCCAGGCCTTTACTGCAACTGTCTTCAGTTCCTGCTTGTTCTTGGGGCATTTTCCCTTCAGTTTTGTCTTCAGCAAGTGAAATGCTCCATCGGATTCAGGTCAGGTGATTGGGCATTGCAGAACATTCCACTTCTTTGGTGCTTTTGCAGTCTGCTTTGGGTCATTGTCCATCTGCACTGTGAAGCGTCCAATGAGTTGTGAAGCATTTGGCTGAATATGAGCCGATAATATTCCCGAAACACTTCACAATTCATCCGGCTGCTTCTGTCAGCCGTCACATCATCAATAAATACAAGAGAAGCAGTTCCATTGGCAGCCATACATGCCCACGCCATGACACTACCACCACCATGATCACTGATGAGGTGGTATGCTGAGGACCATGAGCAGTTCCTTCTCCATCCTCTTCTCTTCCCATCACTCTGGTACAAGTTGATGTTGGTCTCATCTGTCCATAGGATGTTGTTCCAGAACTGTGAAGGCTTTTTTTTTACATGTCGTTTGGCAAACTCTAATCTGGCCTTCCTGTTTTTGAGGCTCACCAATGGTTTCCATCTTGTGGTGAACCCTCTGTATTCACTCTGGTGAAGTCTTCTCCTGATTGGTGACTTTGACACACATACACCTACCTCCTGGAGGGTGTTCTTGATCTGGCCAACTGTTGTGAAGGGTGTTTTCTTCACCAGGGAAAGAATTCTTCGCTCATCCACCACAGTTAATTTTTTCCGTGGTCTTCCGGGTCTTTTGGTGTTGCTGAGCTCACCGGTGCGTTCCTTCTTTTTAAGAATGTTCCAAAACAGTTGTTTTGGCCACGCCTAATGTTTTTGCTATCTCTCTGATGGGTTTGTTTGTTTTTTCAGCCTAATGATGGCTTCACTGATGGTGACAGCTCTTTGGATCCCATCTTGAGAGTTGACAGCAACAGATTCCAAATGCAAATAGCACACTTGAAATGAGCTCTGGACCTTTTATCTGCTCATTGTAATTGGGATAATGAGGGATTAACACACACCTGGCAATGGAACAGCTGAGAAGCCAATTGTCCCATTACTTTTGGTCCCTTAACAAGTGGGAGGCACATATGCAAACTGTTGTAATTCCTACACCGTTCACCTGATTTGGATGTAAATACCCTCAAATTAAAGCTGACAGTCTGCAGGTAAAGCACATCTTGTTCGTTTCATTTCAAGTCCATTGTGGTGGTGTATAGAGCCAAAAATGTTAGAATTGTGTCGATGTCCCAATATTTATGGACCTAACTGTATATATATAAATATATATATATAATCTATTATATTTATATATATTTCATTTATTATGTAGTATATTTATATATTTAATTAATTATATAGTTTATTTATATATATTTCATTTATTATATAGTATATTTATATAGTTAATTAATTATATAGTATATTTATATATTTTCATTTATTATATTGTATATTTATATAGTTAATTAATTATATAGTGTATTTATATATATTTCATTTATTATATAGTATATTTATATATATTTCATTTATTATATAATATATTTAATTAATTATATATATATTTATATATATTTCATTATTATATAGTATATTTATATATATATATTTCATTTATTATATAGTATATTTATATATTTAATTAATTATATAGTGTATTTATATATATTTCATTTATTATATAGTATATTTATATATTTAATTAATTATATAGTATATTTTATATATTTCATTTATTATATAGTATATTTATATATATTTCATTTATTATATAGTATATTTATATATTTAATTAATTATATAGTGTATTTATATATATTTCATTTATTATATAGTAATATTTATAGATTTCATTATTATATAGTATATTTATATATATTTCATTTATTTTATAATATATTTATATATTTAATTAATTATATAGTATATTTATATATATTTCATTTATTATATAATATATTTATATAGTAATTAATTATATAGTATATTTATATATATTTTCATTTCATTTTTATTATAATTATAATATATTTATATATTTAATTAATTATATAGTATATTTATATATATTTCATTTATTATATATATATTTATATAGTTAATTAATTATATAGTATATTTATATATATTTATTTATTATATAATATATTTATATATTTAATTAATTATATAGTATATTTATATATATTTCATTTATTATATAGTATATTTATATATTTAATTAATTATATTGTATATTTATATATATTTCATTTATTATATAGTATATTTATATATTTAATTAATTATATTGTATATTTATATATATTTCATTTATTATATATTATATTTATATATATTTCATTTATGGAGTGTATAGCATGGAAACTTTTGAAACCTTTAACAATCTTTTTGTCGCCTACATAGCTGTGGCATAATATCTTCCGTTGGACTTGGAAAGACACGATTGTTTAAATGTAACGGAATGGGAGGGAAATTTGTGACCATCGTGATCCCGGACAGGAACTCCTCTCTTTCCCTGTGTGAGGTGCAGGTGTTTGGAAACAAGGTAGAAAAACCTGGTAAGTATTAGTAATGTGCGGACCGGACCAATTCCAGTCCTGACATTTTCTTCATACGCAGAAAAATTAGAACTTTGTTTTTGGGGGGCTAGAAAATTATTTAGAACGCCCAAAACATCAAACAGGCGGACCTCGGTGTACGAACGCCTCGATTAACGTGATTTTCGCTTTACGAATGAAAATCCAATGAAAATAATCGCTCGGTTTACAAATTTTTTTCGCAATATAAACGGATTAATTGGTTTTCAGTGCATTTACGAATGAATTTTTCATCATGTCCCTGGACAGTATTTATGCCTTTAAAGTGCACTTTATAAAGAGATAAAAGACTTTTTTTTACTTGCTAAGCTAAGCACGAAATTGTGACCTAAAATTAAAATAATTTTTTTTTCTCCTAAAAATGTTTATAAACATTAGGTGACATAAAAAATTGCCACAAGTATCTTTTTATTCTAAAATATAAAAATATATAATGTTCTGGGTTGGGGGGGGGGGGGGTTACGTTATTTTATAGCCACAAATGCAAATTTTTACATGTGTGAAAAAAAAAAATAAAAAAAAATTGCTCTTGTGCGGACGTGTTTGAATCTCAGCGCGTTACATTATTAGGAGGGCAGTCAGAAGGAGACTTTATAATGAAATTTGTGCACTTTTTACAGTTTCATATTGTTCTTGGGATGAAGATGTTCAATCGCGGGAGAAAAAATCACAGTGGTAAGAATCATTAAAAATGAAAAAAAAAATAATACCCGCTTCGATATCAGACACTTTCACCCCCTTCCTGCCCAGGCCAATTTACATCCATTCAGACTAATTGTTTTATCATTTTATTATTTTATCATTTGTTTTAGAGCTTTTTTTGGTGGTTTTTATTCACGACTGGGTTTATTTTTTTTTATATAAATGAAAAAAAAAAACACAAAATTTATGGAAAAAAAAAGCTTTTTTCTTTGTTATACAATGTTGCAAATAAATAATCTCTCTTCTTCAATTTAGGACAAAACTGGGAGATATATAATTGATAATTGATCGATCCTGATGTACTGATCTCATTTCTAGAGGCCCTAAAGCGTCAGGACAGTACAAATCCCCCCCAAATGTCAGGACAGTACAAATCCCCCCAAATGTCAGGATGGTACAAATCCCCCCAAATGTCAGGACGATACAAATCCCTCCAAATGTCAGGATGGTACAAATCCCCCCAAATGTCAGGACGGTACAAATCCCCCCAAATGTCAGAAACAGTACAAATCCCCCAAATGTCAGAACGGTACAAATCCCTCCAAATGTCAGGACGGTACAAATCCCCCCAAATGTCAGGACGGTACAAATCCCCCAAATGTCAGGACGGTACAAATCCCCCCAAATGTCAGGATGGTACAAATCCCCCCAAATGTCAGGATGGTACAAATCCCTCCAAATGTCAGGATGGTACAAATCTCCCCCAAATGTCAGGAGGGTACAAATCCCCCAAATGTCAGGACGGTACAAATCCCCCCAAATGTCAGGACGGTACAAATCCCCCCAAATGTCAGGATGGTACAAATCCCCCCCAAATGTCAGGACGGTACAAATCCCCCCAAATGTCAGGACGGTACAAATCCCCCCAAATGTCAGGACTGTACAAATCCCCCCAAATGTCAGGATGGTACAAATCCCTCCAAATGTCAGGACGGTACAAATCCCTCCAAATGTCAGGACGGTACAAATCCCCCCAAATGTCAGGACTGTACAAATCCCCCCCCAAATGTCAGGACGGTACAAATCTCCCCCAAATGTCAGGACGGTACAAATACCCCCCAAATGTCAGGACAGTACAAATCCCCCCAAATGTCAGGACGGTACAAATCCCCCAAATGTCAGGACGGTACAAATCCCCCAAATGTCAGGATAGTACAAATCCCCCCCAAAATGTCAGGACGGTACAAATCCCTCCAAATGTCAGGACGGTACAAATCCCCCCAAATGTCAGGACGGCACAAATCCCCCAAATGTCAGGATAGTACAAATCCCCCCAAATATCAGGATGGTACAAATCCCCCCAAATGTCAGGACGGTACAAATCCCCCCAAATGTCAGGATGGTACAAATCCCCCCAAATGTCAGGATGGTACAAATACCCCCCAAATGTCAGGACGGTACAAATCCCCCCAAATGTCAGGACGGTACAAATCCCCCAAATGTCAGGACGGTACAAATCCCCCAAATGTCAGGACGGTACAAATCCCCCCCAAATGTCAGGATAGTACAGATACCCCCAAATGTCAAGATGGTACAAATCCCCCCAAATGTCAGGACCGTACAAATCCCCCCCAAATGTCAGGACAGTACAAATCCCCCAAATATCAGGACGGTACAAATCCCCCCAAAATGTCAGGATGGTACAAATCCCCCCAAATGTCAGGATGGTACAAATCCCCCCAAATGTCAGGATGGTACAAACACCCCCAAATATCAGGACGGTACAAATCCCCCCAAATGACCCCTTTTTGGAAAGTAGACAGTCTGAGGTATTTAATAAGAGGAATGGCGAGTTTTTTGAAGTCAAAATTTTTTGTCACACTTTTTTTTGGAAAATGAAGAAATGACATAAAATAAATGTTTTTCTTTTTACATGCAGTCACCGGAGAAGTACAGGGCCACCGTATGACTGGTGGGGGGTGATCACAGTGATAGCCAATCGCAGGCAATCACAGCAATCCAGTGATCGGGAATAGGTCCTCCTGGGTCCTGGTCAATAGTAAGAGGCTGGAAGCTGTCCATGACAGCTCAGTCCGTGCACTGGGAGCATGCTGTGAATAAAGACATTTTATTATAATAAATGTGATCATGTTACTTCTACTCAGGGGCGGACTGACAACTCATGGGGCCCCCGGGCAATAAGGGATCATGGGGCCCCTGTGTCCTTGCCCAAACTCAAAAAAGCCTATGAAAAAGGTACCAGGGGCATCTCATGGGGCCCCCTACTGACCCCGGGCCCTTGGGCAGTGCCCGAGTTTCCAAATGTTCAGTCGCCCTGCTTCTACTTATGTAAATACAACAGCCAAAATGGTCTCTTCCAGCCACAAATATGGCCCCGCAGGGCTTAGCATCTCAGCCACCGTACGGCGGGTACCAGTATGGAAAAGAAGCCAAGCTGGCCAATGATGAAAATTTGAACAGCAATTACTACGGAGGCAGCTGCACCCACACCAACGAGGAATGGGAACCTTGGTGGACGGTGGATTTAAAATCCAGAATGAACGTTTCGTCCGTCGTCCTGACCGTTCGAAGTGACTGCTGCATCCAGAGGTTCTACGGGGCCGAGATCCGCATAGGGAACGCCAAAAATCGAGACAACCCCAGGTAAGCGTATTTACTAATGTTGTTCCTAAAGGGTATCGGCGTTTCCAGCAATTCAAGGAAAACAGGGGCAGGGGAGTCTGCGTCGCCCCGGAACAATTGGCTTCATTTGTTGGGTTTTCTAAAAAAAGAAATAAGGGAAAATAATGATTGTAATAAATAGATAATAAAATTGTGCGGAAGAAAGACGGCCATGTGGGAGCACTGCTACCATGGGTGACCAGCTTGGCTGTCAGGGTCTGGATCTGGACCTGGGACCTCTGCAGTGTCTGGATTTAGCTCTTGTTGATGGGCCACCTAAGATGCTGGACTTGTTTCTGGTGAACCTTGAACTCTTTGCTCCTCCCATGAACTTCCTATATAAGCCACGCCTTTGCACTTCCTGTTTGCCAGATTAGTGAGCTCTCTCCAGCTGATATCTCACACCTTTGTGTACCTGAAGATGTTCTTATCGTTGCTACCACTTGTTATTGACCCCTGGTTTGTTCATTGACTATGCTTCCATCTGATCCCTTCCAGCTGCTACTCATTGCTGACCCCTGGTTTGTTCATTGACTATGCTTCGATCTCATCCCTTCCAGCTACTACTCATTGCTGACCCCTGGCTTGTTCGTTGACTACGCTTCCATCTCATCCCTTCCAGCTACTACTCATTGCTGACCCCTGGCTTGTTCGTTGACTACGCTTCAATCTGATCCCTTCCAGCTACTACTCATTGCTGACCCCTGGTTTGTTCGTTGACTACGCTTCCATCTCATCCCTTCCAGCTACTACTCATTGCTGACCCCTGGTTTGTTCGTTGACTACGCTTCCATCTCATCCCTTCCAGCTACTACTCATTGCTGATCCCTGGCTTGTTCGTTGACTACGCTTCCATCTGATCCCTCCCAGCTACTACTCATTGCTGACCCCTGGCTTGTTCATTGACTACGCTTCCATCTGATCCCTTCCAGCTACTACTCATTGCTGACCCCTGGTTTGTTCGTTGACTACGCTTCCATCTGATCCCTCCAGCTACTACTCATTGCTGACCCCTGGCTTGTTCATTGACTACGCTTCCATCTGATCCCTTCCAGCTACTACTCATTGCTGACCCCTGGCTTGTTCGTCGGCTACGCTTCCATCTGATCCCTCCCAGCTACTACTCATTGCTGACCCCTGGCTTGTTCGTCAGCTACGCTTCCATCTGATCCCTTCCAGCTACTACTCATTGCTGACCCCTGGCTTGTTCGTCAGCTACGCTTCCATCTGATCCCTTCCAGCTACTACTCATTGCTGACCCCTGGTTTGTACATCGACTACGCTTCCATCTGATCCCTCCCAGCTACTACTCATTGCTGACCCCTGGCTTGTTCATTGACTACGCTTCCATCTGATCCCTTCCAGCTACTACTCATTGCTGACCCTGGCTTGTACATCGACTACGCTTCCATCTGATCCCTACCAGCTATGTTGCTTATGTGCTTCATCTGCTACCTGACTCCCGCTTACTCTCTTCCTCCTGAGAGCCACCACCTGGCATTAGCATGCAGTGAAACTCATCTCCACCATCCACCATATGAAGCTCCATCACCTCCATTATCCACCATCAAGAGTTCCATCACCTCAATCATCCACCATCAACAGCTCCATTATCTCCATCATCCACCATCAGGAGCTCCATCACCTCCATCATCCACCATCAGGAGCTCTGGTGAAGACCAGCTAGTGCTTAGACCCCATGCCTTGGGTGAGCCTGGGTCATCCACTAGTGGATCCGCTTGTGTAGTAATCCAGCTGAATGACTCGTGAATCAGCCAATGGCCTCCAAGCCTGACTCCAGACCATGACAACTGAACTGAAAACTGTGAGCTCCACGAGATTGACCCCTTGTGGTTGGCTATTGATTTTTAGAGTCGCCACGGGCTTTCAGATAAAAGTGATCTGGGCAGCTTAAGATCACTTTTATGGGCTTCTGAAAGTGTGCCCCCCACTGGAAGGTGTGGGTATAGGTACTCCTTTTCATCCAGAACCAGAAGCCACTACCATGGTAAATGGCTCCCACAGCGAGAGCTGGAGATAATTGGGGAACATCCATTCCGTGACTAATGAACTCTCGGATAAAAAGGAAGGATCACCCGATGTCCATAGAATTGCACCTATAAACAGCCTAATAAATTATTTCCCAGATCATCAGCTCCATCTAATGGCCAAAATGTGGTTTCATTTTCTCATCTCAATGAGGACGTATACTGCATTTTGGCCACTAGATGGAGCTGCCGATCATAGAAATGGAGGGATTACATTGGTCAACACACTTCTTCTGACATAAGGTATTCCAATGGTTTTAAGGTAATTTTGGAGTGCTGATTCCAAATCTGACATCAGTTTTTTGTCTATCACATCAGGTTTTTGAGATATCAAATATTTCATTTTCAATAAAAACAGCAAATTTATGCTCATATACCAATAGCTATACAGGCATACATACAAGAATAACATTATTATTATACAGTATTTATAAAGCGCCAATAGTTCGCTCAGCGCTGTACATTACAATGGTGGAAAATACATGAAATTGTCAGGGCTCCCGGGTATGACCAGAGGTGTGTGACTGACGCAGGGAAACGCAGACTTCAGATATGTTATAAACAATATAATTTATTAACACTAACAATACATAAACGCAGTGCAATACTAAAACATAACACAGTGCAAACAAACCAAACCAAACCACCCACAGATGACAGTACATACAATGCAAGCGTCGTCAGGCAGGCGGGTCAATATCAATCGGGCAGGTAGGTACAGGGGGAGCAAGCGGAGAATGGTCGGGGTCACAAACCAGGTTCAGCAGGTAGCGGGCAGCGTGGTACAGAGGGTCAGGCAGAGGAGAATGGTCAGACAAAGCCAGGGATCAGAGCAGGGTCAGCAACGAATCAGACAGGAACAGGAACAGGGAGCAGGAACAGGATACAGGGCCCAGGAGAAACACACACACCAAGGCAGAGTCTGCAGGTCTGGCCATCCCTTAAATACACCAGTATAATCAGTTCCAGGTGTTTGACTGGCTGCAAGGTTGAGTCTCTGATTGCTGGGAGCACCCGCTGGCCAGCCCTGGTACTGCAGCTCATAAGGCAGGTGAGTCCCACTATTGCTGGCCAGTCCATTCCTGACAGAGACAATACAGTAACAATACAATACACGAGGGTTCGAGGGCCCTGCTCCTTGGAGCTTACAATCTAGGAAGGAGGGGATAGTGGTACAGGAGGAATAGCTGTGGGGGATGGAATGGTTGGAAGAGTGGAGGAGATTGGTAGCTAGAGGGCGGGGTAGGCTTCCCTGAAGAGATGGGTTTTCAAGATAAGATACAATATACAATAATAATGAAACAAACATTTAATGAGCCGTAGCACAAAGTTGTGAGTGACCGCATATCAATGTGAGTGACCGCATATCAATGTGAGTGACCGCATATCAATGTGAGTGACCGCATATCAATGTGAGTGACCGCATATCAATGTGAGTGACCGCATATCAATGTGAGTGACCGCATATTAGAATCGGATAGAATCCTTCTGCGCTAAACAGATATAATAATATATATACACAAGCAGCTACTACCTTAACCTATACCAGAGGTGTAAAATGATTATTATTATTATTATACAGGATTTATATAGCGCCAACAGTTTGCTCAGTGATGTACATTATAATGGGAGACAGTACACGAGACAGTACAGTAACAATACGATTCAATACACGAGGGGTTCGAGGGCCCTGCCCCTTGGAGCTTACAATCTAGGAGGGAGGGGATGGTGGCACAGGAGGAAATAGCTGTGGGGAAAGGAGTGGTAGGAGGAGTGGAGGAGGTCTGAAATTAGCAGGGGGTGGGGTAGGCTTTCCTGAAGAGATAGGTTTTCAGAGTGCGCCTAAAGGAGAGGAGAGTAGGTGATAGTCTGATGGATTGGGGTAGGGAGTTCCAGAGGATGGGGAAGCCCTGGAGAAGTCCTGGAGATGGGCATGGGAGGAGGAGACCAGGGAACTAGAGAGTAGGAGGTCTTGTGAGGAGCGGAGAGTGCGTTTTGGGTGGTAGATGGATACCAGATCAGTGATGTAGTTTGGGGCATTATTATGAACAGCTTTGTACGTCAGTGTTAGCATTTTAAATTTTATGCGTTGGGCAATCGGAAGCCAGTGGAGGGATTGGGGGAGGGGGGCGGTGGATACGGAGCGGTTGGTAAGGTGGATGAGTCGGGCCGCAGCATTCAAGATAGACTGAAGCGGGGATAGCCTGCGGTGGGGTAAGCCGATGAGGAGGGAGTTACAGTAGTCAAGGCGTGAAATAATAAGGGAGTGAATGTGGATATCTACATAAAAGGATATTATATAAACACACTATCCTACAAATACAGCACCGTATTTTAACACTAAAGCAGTCACTGACTCGCAACAACTTGCAATCATAAGTGATAAAGAGTTAATTTCGGGTAAAATCAATGAAAATGGGATATGCCGATAGCATAAAAATGGGATGTGATAGAACAAATCTGAGATCAGATTTGGAATCAGCACCCTGAAATGAGTCTAAAACAGCTGCAAAAGTCCAGGCCAGAATATTTTTATTATTTTTTGTTGACCAGTGTTATAGACAATATGGGGAATGTCGTCCATTGTGCGGGGGGTTGATGATATGTCTCGCTTCTCTCCAGTGTGCTCAGATTCCATCCCGCCTTGAACCAGGAGACACCTTCTACTTTGACTGCGAAGGAATGGAAGGGCGCTATGTGTCCATTGTTATCCCGAACCGCAAGGAGTGGTTGCATATCTGTGAAGTGCAAGTGTTTGCCGAACCCACCGAGAGCCAATCAGAGGGCAGAGAAGGTCAGTAACCACTCCCACTGAAAGGGACTGTTGGACTGAGAGAACATTTTGTATTACTACACAAGATCGATGTCAGGTGGGTCATATGTGTTTAAACTGGAGAAAACGTTAGTCAGCTGTGATTGTTGCCGTAATACCTGCAGGGCGGCTATAAAAGGGGTAAATAAAATGAAGTGCATAATTATAGCTACGGCTATGGGGCCCAGAAGCACAGGGGGCCCTGCCTTGGTAAATAGCAATTTATACACGTGACCATAGCATTTTGCCCATGAAAGGTGAACGTAGACTCACCGGCCACTTTATTAGGTCCACCTTTTTAGCACCGGTTGGTTCCCCTTTTGCCTTCAGAACTGCCTTCATTCTTAGTGGCGTCAATTCAACAAAGTGTTGGAAACATTCCTCAGAGATTTGGGTCCATATTGATGGATCCACCACACCATGACACCGCCACCACCAGCCTGAACCATGATACACAAGGCAGGATGGATCCACCACACCATGACACCACCACCAGCCTGAACCGTTGATACAAGGCAGGATGGATCCACCACACCATGACACCACCACCACCAGCCAGAACCAGGGATACAAAGCAGGATGGATCCACCACACCATGACACCACCACCAGCCTGAACCGTGGATACAAGGCAGGATGGATCCACCACACCATGACACCACCACCACCAGCCTGAACCGTTGATACAAGGCAGGATGAATCCACCACACCATGACACCACCACCACCAGCCTGAACCAGGGATACAAAGCAGGATGGATCCACCCACACCATGGATCCACCACACCATGACACCACCACCAGCCTGAACCGTGGATACAAGGCAGGATGGATCCACCACACCATGACACCACCACCACCAACCTGAACCATTGATACCAGGCAGGATGGATCCACTACACCATGACACCACCACCACCATCCTGAGCTGTTAATACAAGGCAGGGTGGATCTATCACACCATGACACCACCACCACCAGCCTGAACCGTTGATACAAAGCAGAATGGATCCGTGCTTTCATGTTGCTTATGCCAAATTTTGACCCTGCCATCTGAATGTCGTGTCGCAGCTGAAATCCAGACTTATCAGACCTGACAAAGTTTTTCCAATCTTCTATTGTCCAAATTTGGTGACCCTATGCGAATTGTAGCCTCCGTTTCCTGTTCTTAGCTGACAGGAGTAACCCCCCCCCCCCCCGATGTGGTCTTCTGCTGCTGTAGCCCATCTGCTTCAAGACTGGACGTGTTGTGCATTCAGAGATGGTATTCTGCATAACTTGGTTGTAATGAGTGGTTATTGGAGTTACTGTTGCCTTTCGATCATCTGGAACCAGTCTGCCCATTCTCCTCTGACCACTGACCTCAAGAAGGCATTTTCCACAACTGCCACTCACTGAATATTTTCTCTTTTTCGGACCATTCTCTGTAACCCTAGAGATGGTTGTGCGAGAAAATCCCAGGAGATCAGCAGTTTTTGAAATACCCAGACCAGCCCGTCTGACACCAACAACCGTGCCACGTTCAAAGTCACTTAAATCCCCTTTCTTCCCCATTCTGATGCTCGGTTTGAACTTCATCAAGTCGTCTTCACCACGTCTAGATGCCTCAATGCATCGAGTTGCCGCCATGTGATTGGCTGATTAGCAATTTGTGTCACCAAGCCATTGAACCGGTGGACCTAATAAAGTGGCCGGTGAGCGTATAACAAAAAGCCTGCATGCTATTCAGAAATATATTAGAAAATACGATAAAGGTAAATAATCAGAAAGCAAATATCACCACAAAATGTGCGCTCATCACCACAACAGAACAAATATTACAAACAGTAAAGTGCTTTCTGAATGAAGTGAGTTACAAAATGTATCTTTTTTTTTTTTTTTTACATTTCTTTAGTGAAACTAAAAGACGAAGATAGATAGAAAAAAAAGTATCTAAAAAACCTAAATCAAAGGAAGAAACGGGTAAGTCTCTGGTTCCAGTATTGCAAACTAGACTTTCTAGGAGAAAGGGCTTCTGGGTAATTGTTCCCTGCGAGCCATGTGCCCGCTTGGTTCTCAAAGTGTAACCAAAACCAAGAGCAAGAATTTAGGGACGAGCTTTGGGTTCGGGAGGGGGGGGGGGGTAAAACTCTTGTATTTGGCCATTTTGACCTCCTGACTCCTTGGCTGCTAAAATCTGGTCAACTAAGAATCCCACCACTGTTGTGTACAGTCCATCAGCTCTGGATATTCTATCATCACGTCTTGGTTCATTCTACTGCAACCTGGAAGTGCGACTTTGCCAGGCAACTTGAGTACTACTTTGAAGCGACTTTCAGGGAATGCTGGGTAAATCGTCCTGTAATGTCGGATCCAAATGACATCGATATAGAGGAGGATCCGACTTGGAGGTGACTTCTATTAAAGTCTATGGGCACAAATGGGAGAGAAGTCGCCTTAAAGCAGCACAGGAACCTTTTCTAAAGTCGGAGTGACTTTAAGAGTGCCAATCCCCCCCTTCCAGTCCAGACACTTCCCCCCCCTTCCAGTCCGGACACTTTCCCCCCCTTCCAGTCCGGACACTTTCCCCCCCTTCCAGTCCAGACACTTTAACCCCCCTTCCAGTCCGGACACTTCCACCCCTTCCAGTCCGGACACTTTCCCCCCCTTCCAGTCCAGACACTTTACCCCCCTTCCAGTCCGGACACTTTCCCTCCTTCCAGTCCGGACACTTTCCCTCCTTCCAGTCCAGACACTTTCCCCCCCTTCCAGTCCAGACACTTCCCCCCCCCCCCCCTTTTCCATTCCGGACACTTTCCCCCCCTTCCTGTCCGGACACTTTCCCCCCCTTCCAGTCCCGGACACTTTCCCCCCTTCCAGTCTGGACACTTTCCCCCCTTCCAGTCCGGACACTTTCCCCCCCTTCCAGTCCGGACACTTTCCCCCCCTTCCAGTCCAGACACTTTCCCCCCCTTCCAGTCCGGACACTTTCCCCCCTTCCAGTCCGGACACTTTCCCCCCCTTCCAGTCCGGACACTTTCCCCCCTTCCAGTCCGGACACTATCTCTCCTTCTAGTGCGGACACTTTCACCCCTTCCAGTCCAGACAATTTTACCCCCTTCCAGTCCGGACACTTTCCCCCCCTTCCAGTCCAGACACTTCCCCCCCCCCTTCCAGTCCGGACACTTTCCCCCCCTTCCAGTCCGGACACTTTCCCCCCCCCCCCTTCCAGTCCGGACACTTCCACCCCTTCCAGTCCGGACACTTTCCCCCCTTCCAGTCCGGACACTTTCCCCCCCTTCCAGTCCAGACACTTTCCCCCCTTCCAGTCCGGACACTTTCCCCCCCTTCCAGTCCACACAATTTCCCCCCCCCCCTTCCAGTCCAGACACTTTCCCTCCTTCCAGTCCGGACACTTTCACCCCCTTCCAGTCCGGACAATTTTACCCCCTTCCAGTCCGGAAACTTTTCCCCCCCTTCCAGTCCGGACACTTTCCCGCCTTCCAGTCCGGACACTTTCCCCCCCCCTTCCAGTCCAGAACACTTTCCCCCCCCCCCCCTTCCAGTCCAGACACTTTACCCCCCTTCCAGCCGGGACACTTTCCCTCCTTCCAGTCCGGACACTTTCCCCCCCTTCCAGCCTGGACACTTTCCCCCCCCCCTTCCAGTCCGGACACTTTTTCACCCCCTTCCATTCCGGACAATTTTATCCCCTTCCAGTCCGGAAACTTTCCCCCCCCTTCCAGTCCAGACACTTTCCCCCCTTCCAGTCCAGACACTTTCCCCCCCCCCTTCCAGTCCGACACTTTCCCTCCTTCCAGTCCGGACACTTTCCCCCCCTTCCAGTCCGGACACTTCCCCCCCCCCCCTTCCAGTCCCCGGACACTTTCCCTCCCCTCCAGTCTGGACACTTTCCCCCCTTCCATTCCGGACACTTCCCTCCCCTCCAGTCTGGACACTTTCCCTCCTTCCAGTCCGGACACTTTCCCCCCCTTCCAGTCCGGACACTTTCCCCCCCTTCCAGTCCGGAAACTTTCCCCCCCCTTCCAGTCCGGACAATTTCCCTCCTTCCAGTCCGGACACTTTCCCCCACTTCCAGTCCGGACACTTTCCCCCCCCCTTCCAGTCCGGACACTTTACCCCCCTTCCAGTACGGACACTTTCCCTCCTTCCAGTCCGGACACTTTCCCCCCCTTCCAGTCCGGACACTTCCCCCCCCCTTCCAGTCCAGACACTTTTCCCCCCCTTCCAGTCCGGACACTCCCCCCCCCCCCCTTCCAGTCCGGACACTTTCCCTCCCTTCCAGTCCGGACACTTTCCCCCCTTCCATTCCGAACACTTTCCCTCCCTTCCAGTCCGGACACTTTCCCCCCCTTCCAGTCTGGACACTTCCCCCCCCCTTCCAGTCCGGACACTTTCCCCCCTTCCAGTCTGGACACTTCCCCCCTTCCAGTCTGGACACTTTCCTCCCTTCCAGTCTGGACACTTTCCCCCCCCCTTCCAGTCCGGACACTTTCCCCCTTTTCCAGTCCGGACCCTTTCACCCCCTTCCAGTCCGGACACTTTCCCCCCCCTTCCAGTCCGGACACTTTCACCCCCTTCCAGTCCGGACACTTTCACCCCCCTTCCAGTCCGGACACTTTCCCCCCCTTCCAGTCCCGACACTTTCCCCCTTTTCCAGTCCGGACACTTTCACCCCCCTTCCAGTCCGGACACTTTCACCCCCCTTCCAGTCCGGACACTTTCCCCCTTTTCCAGTCCGGACACTTTCCCCCCCTTCCAGTCCGGACACTTTCACCCCCTTCCAGTCCGGACACTTTCCCCCCCTTCCAGTCCGGACACTTTCCCCCCCCCCCCCCCCCTTCCCCCCCAGGCCAATTATAAGCTTTCAGCGCTATCACAGTTTGAATGACAATTGCGCGGTCATGCAACACTGCACCCATATGAATTTTTTAGCATTTTTTTGAGACACATAAAGCTTTATTTTGGTGGTATTTATTCACCTCTGGGATATTAATTTTTTTTTCTATATATATGAAAATGTCCAAAAATTTTGAAAAAAAAGTTTTTCTTATAAAATTTTGCAAATAAATAATATTTCATCATAAATCTCAGCCAAAATGTATTCAGCTATCTTTTTAGTAAAGACAAAAACACCAAAATTAGTTTTATAACCAAAAATTATCATTTAAAAAAAAAAAAATGTTTAAATTTTTTTAATATTATTATATATGTTTTTTTTTTTTTTTTTTTTTTTAACATACTGTCACTCTAGCAGTACAGTGTCACCATAGTGACACTGTACTACTTGTGGGGGGGTGATGAAGCTAAAAAAGGCTGTAAAAGCAATCATTTCTCCTCTCTGGCTGCATTCCTGCAGCCATTGAGAAAATACTGTGTGAGCTGTGATTGGTCACAGCTTGTCACATGGTACAAGGCTGTTGTGAATGGCCCTGTACCATGTGACCTCTGTGATCATTCACAAATTTCACAATTAGTAAGCAATGATGTTAGGAAGTGACATCTTGTTTACTACTGTTCATGTGATCACTGATTGGCCAATCAGTGATCACATGTTTGGGACCGCGCACCACAGAGGTCCCTGTGCAGCGCGCTCCCAGGGAGAGCGCACAGGCAATGGATGGACGTCCCCCTCCTGCCGCTTGCCAGTGTTTCTCGGGCATACCGTTGCAACCAGCACACCCAAGAAATGATCCGACGGTGCGGCCAGCTGGCCTCAGAGATGATGAGAGACTCTGTGGCCTTTAAAGACTGGAGCGACTTCATGACGTCACTTACGGTCTGAGGCAGATGTAAACAGTTTTTTTTCAAGCAAAAGATTTATTTTGTTTTAATCTTTTGTTTTTAAAGGTAAAGGAGAGATTTGGGGTCTTTTTGACCCCAGATCTCTCCTTAAAAAGGTCTCCAAACTACATCCCCTGAGCTGGACGTGGCCCTTTGCCTGCCTTGAGCCTGCCCTTGGGGAACTATTCCTTCTACTAATATGAGGCACTATTCCTCCCACTGACACCAATGATGGGGCACTATTCCCCCCACTGACACCAATGATGGGGCACTATTTCTCCCACTGATACCAATGATGGGGCACTATTCCTCCCAATAACACCAATGATGGGGCACTATTCCTCCCACTGACACCAATGATGGGGCACTATTCCTCCCACTGACACCAATGATGGGGCACTATTCCTCCCACTGATACCAATGATGGGGCACTATTCCTCCCACTGACAACAATGATGGGGCACTATTCCTCCCACTGACACCAATTATGGGCACTATTCCTCCCACTGACACCAATGATGGGGCACTATTCCTCCCACTGACACCAATGATGGGGCACTATTCGCCCCCCCACTGACACCAGAATGATGGGGCACTATTCCTCCCACTGATACCAATGATGAGGCACTATTCCTCCCACTGATACCAATGATGGGGCACTATTCCTCCCACTGACACCAATTATGGGGCACTATTCCTCCCACTGACACCAATGATGGGGCACTATTCCTCCCCCTGACACCAATGATGGGGCACTATTTCTCCCACTGATACCAATGATGGGGCACTATTCCTCCCACTGACACCAATGATGGGGCACTATTCCCCCACTGACACCAATGAGGGGCACTATTCCTCCCACTGACAACAATGATGGGGCACTATTCCTCCCACTGATACCAATGATGGACACTATTCCTCCCACTGACACCAATGATGGGACACTATTCCTCCCACTGACACCATGATGGGGCACTATTTCTCCCACTGATACCAATGATGGGGCACTATTCCTCCCACTGACACCAATGATGGAGCACTATTTCCCCCCACTGACACCAATGATGGGTCACTATTCCCCCCACTGACACACCAATGATGGGGCACTATTCCTCCCACTGACACCAATGACGGGGCACTATTCCTCCCACTGATACCAATGATGGGACACTATTCCTCCCACTGATACCAATGATGGGACACTATTCCTCCCACTGATACCAATGATGGGGCACTATTCCTCCCACTGACACCAATGATGGGGCATTATTCCTCCCACTGACGCCAATGATGGGGCACTATTCCTCCCACTGACACCAATGATGGGGCACTATTTCCTCCCACTGACGCCAATGATGGGGCACTATTCCTCCCACTGACACCAATGATGGGGCACTATTCCTCCCACTGATACCAATGATGGGGCACTATTCCTCCCACTGACACCAATGATGGGGCACTATTCCTCCCACTGACACCAATGATGGGGCACTATTCCTCCCACTGACGCCAATGATGGGGCACTATTCCTCCCACTGACGCCAATGATGGGGCACTATTCCTCCCACTGATACCAATGATGGGGCACTATTCCTCCCACTGATACCAATGATGGGGCACTATTCCTCCCCACTGACACCAATGATGGGGCACTATTCCTCCCACTGATACCAATGAAGATGGCCTTACTGTCATAAACCTCTACAGGAAACCTAAGGGGGGGTGTTGAGGTGATGCAACAGATGGTAAATAAGGTGCAGGAATCGAGCCCCTATCAGAAGTTCACAATAATATTAAAAATTTATTGTAGGCCCAAAATAGCCATCACAATACCAGCCCTGGTTTCTTCTGCAGCCCGATTTCCACAAAAGATGAAGAAGTAAAAACATGGGCAGAGGGTTTATGAGCATCTCCGATGCTCCCCGGTGTCCAGGTGAAGGAGATCCATAAACCTCTATCCAAATGTTATTACACAAACCCCGCATCCACAGAATCCAAAACCCGAAGGTGCAAACCCAGAAGAAGGTAGAAACTCTTACATAGCGTGGACCAAAATGATCAAAAAAAACATCGTTCCTGATCCTCTGGGGCAGAGGTCTCCTTACAATAATCGGTCTTCTGATTATTTTTCAGTTTTTGCAAAAGAAATTATACTGTCTAAGGTATCTCTGTCCAGTAAGAAGAACAGCACTGAGGTGAAGCAACCAACCAAGTGTGCCGTAACCGAAGAGGAGTATGAGCCGTGGTGGAGGGCCGAACTGCGTACAACCTTTAAAATTCACTCCGTGGCACTGACCAATAGAGGTGGCTCCGATCTCAGGGGGGCAGAGATTCGTGTTGGACACAATGGCTCAGACTGGAGGAATAGCAGCATGTAAGAACCTGTTTTTTTGCTTGGTTTAGTACATTCAATGACCAGAATACATGGAGCCGTGGGGCTCGTTTACACTTGCTTCAAAATATGGCATTAGACACGCTTTGTTAAAGCGCTCTGAATGCCAGTCAAAGCTCCTGTCTCTAAATAAAATAGTTACCTTACAGCAGTGTTTCTCAACTCCAGTCCTCATGGACCCCCAACAGGTCATGTTTTCAGGATTTCCCTCAGATGAAACAGCTGTGGTAATTACTAAGGCAGTGAAACTGATCAAATCACCTGTGCAAAATAATGGAAATCCTGAAAAACATGACCTGTTGGGGGTCCATGAGGACTGGAGTTGAGAAACACTGCCTTACAGTCTTATTCACATGTTGCATTTGCTTTGCTTCAAAATTATCCCCCATGTTCCTTTCCTGGTGCTTCAAAGCATCTCCAAAGCCTCCACAGAAGTCTATGACAACGGTCACTAACAGCACTTGCAGCTTTTGAGAGGCTTTTATTCATCTTTAGCGGAGCTTTGTTTTGGAGGCATTGCAGACGTCACATCTGGTGTGCAGCGTGGAGCAGCAGGAAGGTCAGTGGGACCTTCCGGACCAGAACAGAGCAACTAGCAGACGGCACACGTGGTATGCAACATGGGAACGCTATGATGGAAGGTGAGTGGGGACTGGAGAAAGAGGACTGAGAGGCAGAAGATCAGCAGAGCTGGGGGACCGGAGCAGGAGAAACTAGCAATGTCTCACATGGTGCGCAGCATGGGAGCAATATAGCGGGAACCAGATAGAGAGGAGGATCATCAAACCACAGGATCAGCAGAGCTGGGACTTCCTACTGATGGAGAGATCAGCAGAGCTGGGACTTCCTACTGATGGAGAGATCAGCAGAGCTGGGGGTTACTACTGATGGAGAGATTTATTTATTTATTTATTTCAGGTACTTATATATAGCGCCATCAATTTACACAGCGCTTTTACACACACATATATATATTGTACATTCACATCAGTCCCTAACCCTCAAGGGGCGTACAATCTAAGGTCCCTAACTCACATTCATACATACACATAGTAGGGCCAATTTAGACAGGATCCAATTAACCTACCAGCATGTCTTTGGAGTGTGGGAGGAAACCAGAGTACTCGGAGGAAACCCACGCAGGCACAGGGAGAACATGCAAACTCCAGGCAGGTGGTGCCATGGCTGGGATTCTAACCAACGAGCCGAGTACTGCCAGGCGGAAGTGCTAACCATTTAGCCACTGTGCTGAGAGATCAGCAGAGCTGGGGGTTACTACTGATTGAGAGATCAGCAGAACTGAGGGTTACTACTGAGTGGGGGATCAGCAGAACTGAGGGTTACTACTGAGTGGGGGATCAGCAGAACTGAGGGTTACTACTGAGTGGGGGATCAGCAGAGCTGGGGGTTACTGCTCATGGAGAGATCAGCAGAGCTGGGGGTTACTACTGATTTAGAGATCAGCAGAACTGGAGGTTACTACTGAGTGGGGGATCAGCAGAGCTGGGGGTTACTGCTCATGGAGAGATCAGCAGAGCTGGGGATTACTACTGAGTGGGGGATCAGCAGAGCTGGGGGTTACTACTGAGCAGGGGATCAGCAGAACTGGGGGTAACTACTGAGTGGGGGATCAGCAGAGCTGGGGGTTACTAATAAGTTGGGGATCAGCAGAGTTGGGGGTTACTACTGAGCAGGGGATCAGTAGAGCTGGGGGTTACTACTGAGCAGGGGATCAGTAGAGCTGGGGGTTACTACTGATGGAGAGATCAGCAGAACTGGGGGTTACTACTGAGTGGGAGATCAGCAGAGCTGGGGCTACTACTGAGCAGGGGATCTGCTGAAGGAGGATACCAATGAGCGGGGGATCTTCCAAACAGGGGTACTAATGAGCTGAGGATCTGCTGAGTGGGGGTACTGCTGAGTTGAGGTTCTACTGGGTCCCTTTAAAACAAATAGAAAATTAACACACACATCGGGCATTTGCCAAGCATCATTAAAGCTTCAAAAAAGCATCAGGGAAGCTTCAGAAAACCGTCAAAAAAGCATGTTAAAGCCAAAGGAGTTTTTATGTGTGTTGAAGTCAAAGCAAATGTGAATGAGCCCTTATGCATTAAAATGGTGGACACTGGGCAGGAGCACGTATGGGTTACAATTGGTTGCTGACCAATAATATTGATAAATAAATAAAATTTCTTCTAAAGCAGTGTTTCTCAAGCTAGTCTTCAGAAGATATTTATAGGTGGCAACCCCTCAAGTATGACATGGGCATTCAGGGGGTTCCTGGGAAAAGCAAGTCCAGTTCTACATTTCCATGCACATATAATCAGAATACTTAGGTGCTGTCATGAAGGATTCCTGAAAGGGTTTTAGGGAACCATATCTATCGGATTCTAAAATGTCAGTTGCAAGAGTGACCTGCAGAATCATTTTTGGACCCTTTTTACACTTTGACTTGCTTGTTGTATCAGATTTTGTACAACTCATTGTTTTACATACAAAGCAAACATTCTCAACCAAGGCTCTGTGGAACCCTCAAGGCTCCTTAAGAGTTTGCTAGGGGTAGTGAATTGTCCATGGACCCTTCACCAATGACCACCAATGTAAAGGGGCCTTTCTCCAGTGACCACATTAAAGGGGCCCTTCTCCACTGTCAGAAATGTAAGGGGACCCTTCTTTGCTGAGCACCAATGTAATGGGGCACTTCTACACTATCCCCCTAGCAAAGGAATCCCTTCCCATACACCTCCACAATACCAAGAGAGACTTTCCCCTCTGACTGCTAGGGTTGAGCTTTGAGGTCGTGTCAACCATGAGATCGAACTAAGCGCAAGCTGAATGGGTGAACTTAATGGACAGATTTGGCCAGCTTGCCCACCTTCCTGAAATCTCCGGCTACTCCAACTGGTAGTCATTCATTGAGTGGTGATATTACTATGGCCACTAATTTAGGTTTCTGGCCACCCATCCGCCATCTTGTTTAAAATTGTAAACAAGCCGGTGAGCGTCCAGGGTAACATCACTGGTCAATGGCTTCAACTGGATGGTTTGTTGACATTCAGCTCCTGGCCAGTGAGAGTCCAGCAAGAGAGTATTGCCCACAAGGAGAGCTTGAGTTTGTGTAGGCGAATCAACGGAGCATCGTTCATTGCGATTGAAGAAGGATCTACATTGCTGGTTGATGCGATTGACGTTGGGTGTACGTTAAACATTGTGGACTTTTTTTTATTATATGGTGTCTTGAAACATTTTTGTGAAAAGGTAACAGCCCTGCACTCATTCACATGAGTGTAGGGGGGGGGGGTTATCTGAGTGCACCGTTACCTCAGGGCAGGGGCAGACTGACCATTCTAGCACTCGGGCACTGCCCGAGGGCCCGGAGTCAGTAGGCGGGTCCCATAAAATGCCCCTGGTACCTTTTTATAGGTTTTTTTGGGTATGTTTTGAGTGTGGGCAAGGACACAGGGGCCCCATGATCCCCAACTGCCTGGGGGCCCCATGAGTTGTCAGTCCGCCCCTGCTCAGGGGGCTTCCAGATTCTGATGTTTCCTTTCACAGATTTGCATATCAGCCAGGTTCCATCCTTTCCTGGATGCCCAGATAAGGAGGTTGTATAGATTTTGGGAGGGGCATGCCATTTTTTTTTCTTTGCCTAGACAAATAATTTTAGTTGCCTCCCCTTTCCAGCTGCAGCACAGTCTCCTCCATTGGACTTGGTGAAACCTACTTATTTACGTGTCATTTGCTGGAAGGAAAATTCATCACCATAGTTATCCCAGACAAGATGGCATCACTTGCCCTGTGTGAAGTCCAGGTCTTTGTTCAAGAAGCTGAAAGATCCGGTAAGTTCATGGGACATTTTGGTGCTCACCCCAAATAATGTCAGAATCAAGTTATATACTATGTGTCACGTACCTGGTCGAAGGCCGAAGTAATGAGGGTTCCCCTTGAGGTTGAGTGCAGAGCACCCCTAAAGTAGGGAGCTGTGCCCAAAGAAGCACAGGTTGCCAGCTACGTGGTTGCCCAACGGTCTTGGAGGGACTCCTTATGAAGCTGGACCACAATCACTGTAGGCCAGATGACCCTTGGATGAGAAGGCGGGTCTGAGCAACAGGCTACAACAGAAGGCTTAGTCAGGAGTCAGTGCCAGGGTCATATACAGAGGATCAGTGAGGAACAGATGCAAAAGCAAAGTCGGGCACCAGCTAGGGTCATACACTGGGAGCAAGAAGAAGCAGAGTCTGTGAGAGCGAGCCGAGGTCAAAGCCAGGAGAGGAGCTGAAGACAGGTCCAGGGAACAGGTAATCCAAGAGTATAGAGCACGCAGCAAAACAGGATACAGCAAGCTGATGATAAACCAGCAACTTCTGAGCAAGATTATAGTCTTTATAAAGGCCATTGGGCGCCAGTAACTAGTGCACGCTGTTGCGCATGAACGCTAGCCACGCATTCCTGCGCATATTCGAATGGACATGTTGAAGATTGGCACATCTGCCAGGTCTACGACTATTGAGGTTAGACCTTTGACACAAAGGGGGACCTTTACTATAACTGGAGCACTCAGAATCTGGGGCAGCTGTGCATGGCAGCCAATCAGCTTCTAACTTCAACTTGTTCAAATAAGCTACAACAACGAAATCTGGAAACTGATTGGCTCCCATGCACAGCTGCCCCAGATTTTGGACAGTTGGCAACTTCTGCGCACTGTGCGCTCTGTCATGTGACGTGGCCTACCACTTGGTGGCTGAGTGGCTGTTGTTCCACTTTGTTATAATCCCACTAACAGTTGAGCGTGGAATATTTAGTAGCCAGGAAATGTCACGGATGGACTTATTGCCCAGGTGGCCACCTATCACGGGACCACGCTTGGAGTCACTGAGCTCCTGAGAGCGACCCATTCTTTCACCAATGTTTGTAGAAGCCGTCTGCATGCCTAGGGGCTTGATTGTATACACCTGTGTCCATGGAGGGGATTGGAACACCTGAATCACATGATATGGAGGGGATTGGAACACCTGAATCACATGATATGGAGGGGATTGGAACACCTGAATCACATGATTGGGAGGGGATTGGAACACCTGAATCACATGATATGGAGGGGATTGGAACACCTGAATCACATGATATGGAGGGGATTGGAACACCTGAATCACATGATATGGAGGGGATTGGAATACCTGAATCACATGATATGGAGGGGATTGGAACACCTGAATCACATGATATGGAGGGGATTGGAACACCTGAATCACATGATATGGAGGGTATTGGAACACCTGAATCACATGATATGGAGGGGATTGGAACACCTGAATCACATGATATGGAGGTGATTGGAACACCTGAATCACATGATTGGGAGGGCATTGGAACACCTGAATCACATGATTGGGAGGGGATTGGAACACCTGAATCACATGATTTGGAGGGCGGGGCCCAATACTTTTGGCAATATACTGTAAATATCTGCCCGGTTCTTTATATATATCATAAACTTTAAATATTTACAGATTCATTGTTAAGCCTGGAAACAGGTTTTCTGTTATGATGGCCGTCTCCTGAGACCCCCCCCCCCCACCTTCCCCCATTTCTACGGAAAGTTTCTGCAATATGAAATGTATTATCAGTGTGCCATTAGGCCAGGGGTGGCCAACCTGCGGCTCTCCAGCTGCTGCAGGACTACAAGTTCCATCATGCCTCTGCAAGTCAGTAACTTCCCATCTTTGCAATGCCTCATGGGAAATGTAGTTCCACAACAGCTGGAGAGCCACAGGTTAGCCACCCCTGCATTAGGCAATATGTCGCCTCGTGTAGCTGCTTGTTATTGTTCTGCTTCAGTTGAAGTAATCGAAGCCGTGAGATCGTTCCTTTCGGTGATCTCAATATCTCATTGTGTTTGAACTTCCTAGGTGATGGTCCAAGTTCGGTTGGAGATGAGGAGTTCCAGCAGCCAAATCATGGAGGTAATGGCTTACATGAAAGACTGGTCACCATTGGCTGATAGTTTGCTTCAAAACACACCCTACGTCTCAGGACACACTAGTTCCCAGGGCTTTCTTTCAGAGGGAACGCAGGAGAACGCAGTTCCAGCACCTCCAGCACCGAATGTATGTAATCGTATGGGGAGCTGGGGAGTGCTGGGGGGTCTATTAATGCTGGCTGCTGGTATATTGTTGCTGGGGGGTCAATTGTTACTGGAAGGGATATACTGTTGAGGACGGAGTCTATTGTTTCTGGCTGCTGGGAAATCTGTTGTTGCTGGGGGGTATTTTGTTGTGCGGGTCCATTGTTGCTGGGGATGTCTGTCCGCAGTCTCTGGTCATCTCCTGTACTGTCTGCAGTCTCTGGTCATCTCCTGTACTATGTCTGCAGTCTCTGGTCATCTCCTGTACTGTGTCCGCAGACTCTGGTCATCTCCTGTACTATATCCGCAGTCTCTGGTCATCCCCTGTACTGTGTCTGCAGTCTCCGGTCGTCTCCTGTACCGTGTCCGCAGTCTCTGGTCATCTCCTGTACTGTGTCCGCAGTCTCTGGTCATCTCCTGTACTGTGTCTGCAGTCTCTGGTCATCTCCTGTAGTATGTCTGCAGTTTCTGGTCATCTCCTGTACTGTGTTCGCAGTCTCTGGTCATCTCCTGTACTATGTCTGCAGTCTCTGGTCATCTCCTGTACTATGTCTGCAGTCTCTGGTCATCTCCTGTACTGTGTCCGCAGTCTCTGGTCATCTCCTGTACTGTGTTCGCAGTCTCTGGTCATCTCCTGTACTATGTCTGCAGTCTCCGGTCATCTTCTGTACTATGTCCGCAGTCTCTGGTCATCCCCTGTACTGTCAGCAGTCTCTGACCATCTCCTGTACTATGTCCGCAGTCTCTGGTCATCTCCTGTACTATGTCTGCAGTCTCTGGTCATCCCCTGTACTATATCCGCAGTCTCTGGTCATCTCCTGTACTGTGTCTGCAGTCTCTGGTCATCTCCTGTACTGTATCCGCAGTCTCTGGTCATCTCCTGTACTGTGTCCTGCAGTCTCTGGTCATCCCCTGTACTGTGTCCGCAGTCTCTGGTCATCTCCTGTACTGTGTCCGCAGTCTCTGGTCATCTCCTGTACTGTGTCCGCAGTCTCTGGTCATCTCCTGTACTGTGTCCGCAGTCTCTGACCATCTCCTGTACCGTGTCTGCAGTCTCTCCGGTCGTCTCCTGTACCGTGTCCGCAGTCTCTCTGGTCATCTCCTGTACCGTGTCCGCAGTCTCTGGTCATCTCCTGTACCATGTCTGCAGTCTCTGGTCATCTCCTGTACTATGTCTGCAGTCTCTGGTCATCTCCTGTACTGTGTCCGCAGTCTCCGATCATCTCCTGTACTGTGTCCGCAGTCTCCGGTCATCTCCTGTACTGTGTCCGCAGTCTCCGGTCATCTCCTGTACTGTGTCCGCAGTCTCTGGTCATCTCCTGTACTGTGTCCGCAGTCTCCGGTCATCTCCTGGACTGTGTCCGCAGTCTCCGGTCATCTCCTGGACTGTGTCCGCAGTCTCTGGTCATCTCCTGTATTGTGTCCGCAGTCTCTGGTCATCTCCTGTATTGTGTCCGCAGTCTCTGGTCATCTCCTGTACTGTGTCTGCAGTCTCTTGTCATCTCCTGTACTGTGTCCGCAGTCTCTGGTCATCCCCTGTACTGTGTACGCAGTCTCTGGTCATCCCCTGTACTGTGTCTGCAGTCTCTGGTCATCTCCTGTACTGTGTCTGCAGTCTCTGGTCATCCCCTGTACTATGTCCGCAGTCTCTGGTCATCTCCTGTACTGTGTCCGCAGTCTCTGACCATCTCCTGTACTGTGTCCGTAGTCTTCGGTCATCTCCTGTACTGTGTCCGCAGTCTCTGGTCATCTCCTGTACTGTGTCCGCAGTCTCTGGTCATCTCCTGTACTGTGTCCGCAGTCTCTGGTCATCTCCTGTACTGTGTCTGCAGTCTCTGGTCATCTCCTGTACTGTGTCTGCAGTCTCTGGTCATCTCCTGTACTGTGTCTGCAGTCTCTGGTCATCTCCTGTACTATGTCCGCAGTCTCTGGTCATCTCCTGTACTATGTCTGCAGTCTCTGGTCATCTCCTGTACTATGTCTGCAGTCTCTGGTCATCTCCTGTACTGTGTCTGCAGTCTCTGGTCATCTCCTGTACTATGTCTGCAGTCTCTGGTCATCTCCTGTACCGTGTCCGCAGTCTCTGGTCATCTCCTGTACTGTGTCTGCAGTCTCTGGTCATCTCCTGTACTATGTCTGCAGTCTCTGGTCATCTCCTGTACCGTGTCCGCAGTCTCTGGTCATCCCCTGTACTGTGTCCGCAGTCTCTGGTCATCCCCTGTACTATGTCCGCAGTCTCTGGTCATCTCCTGTACTATGTCCGCAGTCTCTGGTCATCTCCTGTACCATGTCTGCAGTCCATTGGTTCAGAATATTTTTTTTCCTCTCCTAAAACCCAGGTGCGTCTTATGGAGTAAATATGCAATGGATGAATTAGTCCATTATCCATCGGGTGTCTCGGATGTCATTTGCAGACGGGAGGAAAACAGCAACAGACATCTATAAGATAACAAAAATGACAATACAGGAAAAAAAAGTAAAAATAGAACACTTTACAAAAACATCTTCTAACTGTAGAGAAACCATTTGTACAGAAGTGGTAAAGCAATAATAAAGGCCTAGGCCAGGGGTAGGCAACCTGCGGCTCTCCAGCTGTTGCAGGACTACAAGTTCCATCATGCCTCTGCAAGTCATAGCTGTAACTGTCAATTTTGCAATGTCTCATGGGAAATGTAGTTCCACAACAGCTAGAGAGCCGCAGGTTGCCTACCCCTGGCCTAGTGCATGTGCCAGACTGATGAAGGACCTGATCTATTGGTAATTGATTTCAAACCTTTAATTTCAGGTGTCAATGTTGCTCCACGGGGTTTCTGCTCCCAGTCCAGCTACTATGATCATACCCGACCTGCTAATATAGCCGTTGATGGGGACAAATCTGCAAATTATTATGACAGAAGCTGCATCCACACACACAATGATCTTGGTCCTTGGTGGCGTGTCGACCTACTAAGAAAAATGCGAGTCTTTTCTGTTGCCATCACCAACCGCGGAGACTGCTGTGGAAGCCGCTTGAATGGAGCGGAGATCCTTATCGGAGACTCTGAGGAGCGAGGCGGTATTAATAACCCCCGGTAAGGTGAATGCTGTCCGCAACATCTCCACAACATGCCCCTTTTCACCATTGACACCACAAAGCTTCTAATTCACTCCCTGGTCATCTCTCGCCTTGCCTACTGCAACTCCCTCCTCATTGGATTACCTTTACATAGGCTACCCCCTCCAGTCAATCATGAATGCTGCCGCCACACTCATCCACCTTACCAACCATTCAGTGTCTAGTACATCTCTCTACAATCCCTCCACTGGTCTCCATTCAGTGTCCTCCACCCCTCTCTGCCAATCCCTCCACTGGCCTCCATTCAGTGTCCTCCACCCGTCTCTGCCAATCCCTCCACTTGTCCTTCATTCAGTGTCCTCCACCCGTCTCTGCCAATCCCTCCACTTGTCTCCATTCAGTGTCCTCCACCCGTCTCTGCCAACCCCTCCACTGGTCTCCATTCAGTGTCCTCCACCCATCTCTGCAAATCTCTCCACTGGCCTTCATTCAGTGTCCTCCACCCGTCTCTGCCAATCCCTCCACTTGTCTCCATTCAGTGTCCTCCACCCCTCTCTGCCAATCCCTCCACTGGCCTCCATTCAGTGTCCTCCACCCGTCTCTGCAATCCCTCCACTGGTCTCCATTCAGTGTCCTCCACCCGTCTCTGCCATTCCCTCCACTTGTCTCCATTCAGTGTCCTCCACCCGTCTCTGCCAACCCCTCCACTGGTCTCCATTCAGTGTCCTCCCACCATTTCTGCAAATCTCTCCACTGGCCTCCATTCAGTGTCCTCCACCCGTCTCTGCCAATCCCTCCACTTGTCTCCATTCAGTGTCCTCCACCCCCCTCTGCCAACCCCTCCACTGGTCTCCATTCAGTGTGTCCTCCACCCATCTCTGCAAATCTCTCCACTGGCCTCCATTCAGTGTCCTCCACCCCTCTGCCAATCCCTGCATTGGCCTCCATTCAATGTCCTCCACCTCTCTGTGCCAATCCCTCCACTGGTCTCCATTCAGTGTCCTCCACCCATCTCTGCCAATCTCTCCACTGGCATCCATTCAGTATCCTCCACCTTCTCTCTTCCAATCCCTCCACTGGTCTCCATTCAGTTTCCTCCACCTCTCTCTGCCAATCCTCCACTGATCTCCATTCAGTGTCCTCCACTCCTCTCAGCCAATCCCTCCACTGGTCTCCATTCAGTGTCCTCCACTCATCTCTCTGCCAATCCCTCCACTGGCCCCCATTCAGTGTCCTCCACCCCTCTCTGCCAATCCCTCCACTGGCCTCCACTCTGTGTCCTCCACCCCTCTCTGCCAATCCCTCCACTTGTCTCCATTCAGTGTCCTCCACCCCTCTCTGCCAATCCCTCCACTGGCCCCCATTCAGTGTCCTCCACCCCTCTCTGCCAATCCCTCCACTGGCCTGCACTCTGTGTCATCCACCCCTCTCTGCCAACCCCTCCACTGGTCTCCATTCAGTGTCCTCCACCCATTTCTGCAAATCTCTCCACTGGCCTCCATTCAGTGTCCTCCACCCGTCTCTGCCAATCCCTCCACTTGTCTCCATTCAGTGTCCTCCACCCCCCTCTGCCAACCCCTCCACTGGTCTCCATTCAGTGTCCTCCACCCATCTCTGCAAATCTCTCCACTGGCCTCCATTCAGTGTCCTCCACCCCTCTGCCAATCCCTGCATTGGCCTCCATTCAATGTCCTCCACCTCTCTGTGCCAATCCCTCCACTGGTCTCCATTCAGTGTCTCCTCCACCCATCTCTGCCAATCTCTCCACTGGCATCCATTCAGTATCCTCCACCTCTCTCTTCCAATCCCTCCACTGGTCTCCATTCAGTTTCCTCCACCTCTCTCTGCCAATCCCTCCACTGATCTCCATTCAGTGTCCTCCACTCCTCTCAGCCAATCCCTCCACTGGTCTCCATTCAGTGTCCTCCACTCATCTCTGCCAATCCCTCCACTGGCCCCCATTCAGTGTCCTCCACCCCTCTCTGCCAATTCCCTCCACTGGCCTCCACTCTGTGTCCTCCACCCCTCTCTGCCAATCCCTCCACTTGTCTCCATTCAGTGTCCTCCACCCCTCTCTGCCAATCCCTCCACTGGCCCCCATTCAGTGTCCTCCACCCCTCTCTGCCAATCCCTCCACTGGCCTGCACTCTGTGTCCTCCACCCCTCTCTGCCAATCCCTCCACTTGTCTCCATTCAGTGTCCTCCACCCCTCTCTTCCAATCCCTCCATTGGCTTTCACTCACCCAACAAATAAAATTCAACAATAACAACAGCTTACAAAACCATCCACAACTCAGCCCCCAGCTACATCACTAACTTAGTCTCGAAACACCAACCAAAATGCTCTCTTTGGTCCTCCTGCTCTCTAGTTCCCGTGTCTCCTCCTCCCATGCTTGCCTTCAGGACTTCTGCTTAGCTTCCCCTATCCTATGGAACTCCCTACCCCAAACTGTCCAACTATCTCCTATTCTAACCACCTTTAGAAGATCCCTGAAAACCCTTCTCCTCAGCGAGGTCTATCCTGCCCCCACCTAACAACTGTATTTCCACTTTCTCCATCAGCTCATCCCCCACAGCTATTACCTTTTGTATCACTTGACCCTCCCTCTTAGATTGTAAGCTCTCAGGATCAGGCCCCTCTGTATCCTCTTCTTCTCATGTCCCCTATCGGGTGCCCCCATAGCAAGCAGCTTGCTATGGGGGCACCTGACCAGACACGCTCTTGAGCCGCTGCTCCATGTGTCCATTCACACACAGAGCTGTAGCTAGGACAGCCCCTCTGTATCCTTAATGGCTTACTGGCTGTGATTGACAGCAGTGGGAGTCAATGGCTCCTGCTACTGTCTCAGCCAATGAGGAGGTAGACACCTGGGACAGCTGAGGTACTTGTGCACATCGCTGGCTTGATCACCTCTGTGGGCGGGGTGAAACGCATCATAGGGCATGGCCAGAACAATGAATGAGGCCATTCTTCAACATTGGACTCCTGGGGTCTGTTGAGCAGCATTCATCCCTTCACTTGTATTGGCTGACCCCCCCCCCCCCCCCAAAGGGCCTGATATAGATTGTGGGGGGCCCTATGCTGTTTTTTTTAATTTTTTTTTTAATGCTGACAATTGTTTGCTTACATTCTGCTGTCAGCAGGGAATCCCACTGACGGCAGATGAGCCATGGTTGTTAAGGACATGGCGGCCTCCCGCTCCTTAGCAACCAGCTATTCTGAATTAAACTAAACAAATGCCGAAGATACGAAACAGATTCCGAAAATACCAAATGCATCTGAAATGAAATTCTTCAATTAACGAATGGATCCAAAATGAAGATTTGCGGCATGCACATGTTCAGTGCCATATAGAAGTCCAATCATCCGGGACTAAACAACCCTGTGTCTATAAAGCAGGAAAAATGAGAGAAAAAAAAAATCACACTTTCTTTCTCCATGCTGAGATGTTCTGTTCTCCCCCACAAGTGTTTGTGATCAGAAACTCCATAATTGAAGCATTTTTTTCTATTGTACCCCTTTTTACTGCCACTAGCATTGTCCATCGTGATGCCCAGTCCAATGTTCTTCTTCTTTCATTTCCAGGTGTGCTAAGATTGCCTCCATCCCAATGGACAGACCTTCATCTACAGTTGTGTCCAAAATTATTCAACCCCCAATGCTGTAAAGGGGTTTAGGGACTATAGTGTACATTTGGAATTGTATTCAGAATCAAATCCTACAAGGACGTTGTAACTACCCAAATGCAACTAAAAATGACATCAATTGTTTATGTAATACAGTAGTAAATGGTTCTTATGTGGTTTCTTCATTGCCACAATTATTCAACCCCTTAAAGACTACCACTCTGAAGAACAGGTTCATACAGGTGCTTTTCCATCAGGTATTGAAAACACCTGTGGATGTCACCGAGCAGCAATCAAGCATAATAAGCACCAATTAGGCAGCTTTAAAATGACTGTGATACTCAGCTCCTTCTAGACATTTACTGGTGTGGTTACAAACATGGTGAAGGCAAGAGAATGGTCCAGGAAGACAAGAGAAGAGGTGATTTCTCTTCACAGGAAGGGCAATGGCTATAAGAAGATTGCAAAGATGTTAAACATACCAAGAGACACCTTAGGAAGCATCATTCGCAAATTCAAGGCAAAGGGCACTGTTGAAACGCTACCTGGTCGTGGCAGAAAGAAGATGCTGACTTCGACTGCTGTGCGCTACCTGAAGCGTAGAGTGGAGAGAAGTCCCCGTGTGACTGCTGAGGAACTGAGAAAAGATTTGTCAGATGTGGGTACAGAAGTTTCAGCCCAGACAATAAGACGCACACTGCGTAATGAAGGCCTCCGTGCCAGAACTCCCAGGCGTACCCCCTTGCTGTCTCCAAAGAATAAGAAGAGTCGACTGCAGTATGCCAAAAGCCATGTGGACAAACCACAAAAGTTGTGGGATAGTGTTCTGTGGACTGATGAAACAAAATTAGAACTGTTTGGGCCCATGGATCAACGCTATGTTTGGAGGAGAAGAACAAGGCCTATGATGAAAAGAACACCTTGCCTACTGTGAAGCATGGTGGAGGGTCAATCATGCTTTTGGGGCTGTTTTGCTTCTGCAGGTACAGGGAAGCTTCAGCGTGTGCAAGGTACCATGAATTCTCTTCAGTACCAGGAGATATTGGATGGAAACGTGATGCAGTCCGTCACACACCTGAGGCTTGGGAGACGTTGGACCTTTCAACAGGACAATGATCCCAAGCATACCTCCAAGTCCACTAGAGCATGGTTGCAGAGGAAAGGCTGGAACATTTTGGAGTGGCCATCGCAGTCACCAGACTTAAATCGATTGAGAACCTCTGGTGGGACTTAAAGAAAGCAGTTGCAGTGCGCAAGCCTAAGAATGTGACTGAACTGGAGGCCTTTGCCCATGAAGAATGGGCGAAGATACCCGTAGATCGCTGCAAGACACTTGTGTCAAGCTATGCTTCACGTTTAAAAGCTGTTATAACTGTAAAAGGATGCTGTACTAAGTACTAAGATTGAATGTCACTTGGGGGTTGAATAAAACTGATAATGCTGTGAGCACAGAAAAGACATTTGTGGTTATTTCATTATAACTGTTATGTTATATTTGTCTGACCTACAAGTGCCTCTTTAATGTAAATGTAAGCAAGATGACTGAATGATCAAAGCAATGTCAAACTGGCCAAAACACTCAATTTCAGTGGGGGTTGAATAATTTTGGCCACAACTGTATGACTGCGATGGGATGGAAGGACGGTTTGTCACTGTTGTTGTACCCAAAAAAAAAGAACATTTGAATTTATGTGAAGTTCAAGTGTTTTGCTGAGCAAGTTGAAGAGCGAAGAGAAGAAATGTGTATGTAAGATAAGGATTGTGCTTAGACTCTAGCTTACTGTGTGTGTTAGCGAGGGCTCTCTGTTCATTGGCTTCAGGGACTGGAATATCTCCAAAGGTTCACTATATGAGCAGATAAAGATGCCTTCTTATTATTCATTATTAAAATGAATTATTTTTTAAAAAGGAATAAAACGCCTATATAATAAGCATATATGGAGAAAATGCAAGAGGGCTTTTTGTTGGGTGTCAGGGTCACGTACCTTGGTTGGAGGCCAAAGTGACAAGAAGGCTTTGTAACGGAACCCGACCCAGACTGCACTTGGGTATTTCCGTTAGACTACCGCTTCCCTGTCCGAACACAGATCCACGGACACCACCGCAGACCATACGAGACTAGACAAGACCAGTCTTGAAATAAATCAGGAAATAGACTCCTTTATTTTAACACAGATACAAGATAAATACACAGGGCGGGGCAATACACACCCAGTAACAAGAGACTTCAGCAGACACCCCCCACCAAGCCAATACACAAACACATACATCCCATAATAGTTTGCTCCCAAGCAAGACACACAATAGAACAATGGGATGCAACCTCATGGCATTAAACAATGACAACCCCCACACTCCACCTATACATACTACGCAATATCAGGACATCTCACGCTGCAGCCCTAACAGCACAGGGTGACTTACACATAAGAGGGATATGGGGAGCTGAGACAGGGGTCTCCCGACCTCTCCAAAGTGAGCTGTGTTCCATGGGCCCCCCACCCAAAGTGACTCCCGTCACAGGCTTCCTCATGCAGCACTGGTCCAAGTACCCCTGAGTGTGGGAACAGGGGCACAGGACACAAGGAAGTATGGGTGCCAGTAATCAGGTAGCAGTTGTTTCATGAATGCAGTCAGAAGCAGTGTAGGCACACAAGACAAAGTCCAAGGATGGTGACCCACAGGAAGGCACCCTGAAACTGGACCTTGAAAGCTTGGTACAGGGTCTACGAGGACTCACAGTCAGAGGCAGATGGGATCAATAACATGGGCAGATGGTGAGTCAGGGTCAGCAGGGATGGACAGCAAGGACATAGTCAGTAGCCAAGCCAGAGTCATACACAAGGAGCAGGAGTGAGCGTAGTCAAGCAGCAGGCCAAGGTTGATACCAAGAAGACAGGAAGACAGTAGAGTGTGAACAGAGGCAAGCCAGGGTCAGAGTCCAGAATCCACCAAGCAAGGTCAGAAGCAGGCTAGGTCAGCAATGAGAGGTCAGATAACAAGAGCAGGTTCACAGGAACACAGGTCACGGGTAGCTGAAGAACGTCCAGAGATTGGCACATATCTAGACCTCCTTTAAAAAGGCAGCTTGGCACAATTCCTAGGATTGAACATGTGTGGACGTGTGCAATGGTGCACACGGATGCATCAGCATGTCAGTGAATGCTGGTTCCTGATCCCTCTATCTTTCCTCTTTTAATATTTTTTTGTGTTTTCGCTTTTAGTTTATTTATGTCAATTTTTATTAAACTGATATTTTAGTTATTATATCGGCATTTACTAACTGGCCCGACAGTATCAATATTTATCATTGATTGGATCTCACACTGTCCCATTATGAGGCTTGGTGCACTTTAGCCAATGGAATCCATAAGGAGGCTTATGTACATACTGTTTATATAAATATGCGATGACCCAGTATGGCGCCCGTGCCCCAGACAACGTCAGTTGTGACGAAACGTGTAGGGCGGAGCCTGCTGTGACGTCATCGCGTACCGGAGGCCATATTTTCTGCTGGTCATAGTGTTTGCTTATATGTGCTAATGCAGCATTGTACATGTAAGTGCTTTTACCATTTTTAAAAAACTTTGTAGAAAGGTCTTACACTATGTTGGTATCACGTACCTGGTGATGGAGGCCAGTGGAGAGAGGGCTTCCCTTGCGGCTAAGTTCCAGACTCCCCTGAGAGTGGGACAGCGGGAGTCGGGCCCAAAGTTGCACAGGTCGCCTGTAGGAGTGCTGGTTGGTGGTCCACTCAGAAGCACAGCTGGTGCACACGGAGATAGGTCTGCAGACAGGAGGCGCCTGTGCGTGTGTCAGGAATGGACTAGCCAGCAATGGTGGGACTCACCTGCCTTTTGATCTGCAGTACCAGGGCTGGCCAGCGGGTGCTCCCAGCAATCAGAGACTCAACTTTGCAGCCAGCTAACACCTGGAACTGATTATGCTGGGGTATTTAAGGGATGGCCAGACTTGCAGACTCTGCCTTGGTGTTGTGTTCTCTTGGGCCCTGTATCCTGTTCCTGCTCTCTGTTCCTGTCTGTTTCTCTGCTGACCCTGCTCTGATCCCTGGCTTGTCTGACCATCCCTCTGCCTGACCCTCTGTACTACGCTGCTTGCTACCTGTTCTGATCCCTGGCTTGTGACCCTGACCATCCCTCTGCCTGACCCTCTGTACTACGCTGCTTGCTACTGCTGAACCTGGCCTGTGACCCCGACCAATCTCCGCTTGCTCCCCCTGTACCTACCTGCCCTATTGATATTGACCTGGCCTGCCTGACGACGCTTGCATTGTATGTACTGTTATCTGTGGGTGGTTGGTTTGGTTTGGTTGCACTGTATTATGTTTTAGTATTGCACTGCGTTTATGTTTGTATTGTTAGTGTTAATAAATTATATTGTTTATAACATATCTGAGGTCTGCGTTTCCCTGCGTCAGCCACACACCTCTGGTCACACCTGGGAGCCCTGACAGAGTGGTTTGCAAGCCCTTCCAGGATTTAGATGTTTACTGGGTAGTCGGTTCAAGCCAAGGTCAGGTACCAGGTGGGAATCAGAGCAGACGTAGTCAGATGGGATAGCCGAGGTCATACACAGAGGAGCGAGAGAGAGAGAGTATCCGTTAGCCAGGCCGAGGTCGGATCAGGGGTAAATCAGAGTAGACAGGTCCAGGAGCAAGCCGAGTCGGTAAAAGGAAATCACAGGTCAGAATCACAGGAAACAGGAACAGGGCACGGGGAGCTAGAGATCATCCAGCAACTTGAGGAAGTGATGAGCCTCCTTATAAAGGCCGTCTGCACCAGACTGAGGCCAATGTGTACTTCTGCAGCCAAGTAGAGTACTGGCAGAAATGCCAGATCTTCCAGAACTCCTGCCGTGGACAGGACCCTGACAGTTGGGTTCTTCATTTCTCTTATATACTTGTTGGATGGACAACTATATATGAGCCTGTACATACGGAGATACCCGCTGTTCCAGGTGTAATATTCCAGAATAACCTTGGAGGAGACCTCCAAGGACTTTATGTACCAAAGCGCTCCATGACCTTCTGTGATTGGAGGGTCATGGTTATCCGGTAAGGTCGTAAGGTGTTACCTGGTGGAGGCCCCTCACATCTTCCCAGGATACTGTCAGTGCACCCTTGGATGTGGTCCATGACTCTTTGGGGGCTTTGAACGCTTACTTTTCCATTTGGAAAATCTTGTTTCACATTGGGACTATCATTTTATATATTTTTTTTAATCACAATTGTTTTTATATCCATTGGTATATGGTTTATAATCATAGCACATCATATTGTCATTTCATAGTGAATGCTGGTCACTTGTGTGCTGGTGCATGTGCATGAGCACGAGCAGGAGCATTAGCTGCACGAGCAGGAGCATTAGCTGCACGAGCAGGAGCTTTAGCTGCACGAGCATGAGCATTAGCTGCACAAGCATGAGCTTTAGCTGCACGAGCAGGAGCTTTAGCTACACGAGCATGAGAATTAGCCACACGAGTATGAGCATTAGCCACACGAGTATGAGCATTAGCCGCACAAGTATGAGCATTAGCCGCAGGAGTATGAGCATTACCTGCAAAAGTATTAGCTGTATGAATATTGGTCTCATAACACAAGGGCTATGCGTTATGAGACCAGTTGTAAGAAAGTAGAGGTGTGGGGTGCTGGATCACGTCATTTTCTTTTCATTTACGGTGGAAGATTTGAGCTCCTCAGGATCCTTTGGTCCACGATCTACCACCACACCCCATTCCCTATTGTATGTTTCCCGTAATAGAAGAAAATCTCTGGATTACATGAGCCTTGGATCAGCTCATATCTCTGATGAGTTGAGGAAAGTGCCAAAACAAAGTGTATAGAGTCAAGAGTTAATGTTTATTGAAGGTCAATTTAGTGAAAATCCAACGTGTTTTGGGGGTAACAAAGTCCCTTTATCAGGGCTTGATGAGTGTTGAAACGAGGTTTTAACCAGCGAGTAGCTCAAGCTTCAGCTTAAGTGATACCACAGAGCATGCCCAGGGAATATCTGATTGCCTCTCGGGGGATCAGGAAGGACTTTTTTTCCCTGCAGGCCAAATTGGATCGTGCTTTGCTGGGTTTTTTTTTGCCTTCCTCTGGATCAACTTTTTTTTTTTTTCTATATAGTTGAACTGGATGGGTTTTTGTCTTTTTTTCAGCCAGACTAACTATGTAACTATATATCTTCAGGGCTGGGAAAGTTGGCTACCATGTATAATAGTCTTCGCCCGACTGTTAACAATTTTAAGTTTCTTAAACAATGGCAGGGAGGTGTTGTCACCACAGCCCCTAAGAGATGTTAGAGGAGTATTATTATATAGGATTTATGGCATCAACAGTTTGCTCAGCGATTTACAATATAACGGGAGACAATACAGAAACAATAGAGTTCAATACAAGAGGGATAGGAGGGCCCTGATGCTAGGAGCTTACAATCTAGGAGGGAGGGGCTGGTGGTACAAAAGGTAGTAACTGTGGGGGAAGGAGTTGTTGGAAGAGTAGAAGATTCCATTAGTAGCTGAGGGCAGGATAGGCTTCCCTGAAGAGATAGGTTTTCAGAGATCGCCTAAAAGTGAGCAGAGTAGGCGATAGGCTGATAAATTGGGGTAGAGAGTTCCAGAGGATGGGGGAGGCTCTGGAGAAGTCCTGGAGACGAGCATGGGGAGGAGGAGACAAGGGAGCTAGAGTAGGGGTCTTCCGAGGAGCAGAGAGTACAGTTTGGGTGATATTTAGAGACAAAATTGGTGATGTAGTTCGCGCTGACACTGATGCTCCCTGAGCCTGCAGGAAAGATTGAATGTCTTTGAAACATTTGGGGCTGAGTTATAAATGGCTTTATATGTTATTTTTAGTGTTTTGAGTTTTATCCATTGGGCAATGGGAAGCCAGTGGAGGGATTGGCAGAGAAGGGTGGAGGACACTGAATGGAGGCCAGTGGAGGGATTGGCAGAGAGGGTTGGAGGACACTGAGTGGAAGCCAGTGGAGGGATTGGCAGAGAGGGGTGGAGGACACTGAATGGGGGCCAGTGGAGGGATTGGCAGAGAGGGGTGGAGGACACTGAATGGGGGCCAGTGGAGGGATTGGCAGAGAGGGGTGGAGGACACTGAATGGAGGCCAGTGGAGGGATTGGCAGAGAGGGTTGGAGGACACTGAGTGGAGGCCAGTGGAGGGATTGGCAGAGAGGGGTGGAGGACACTGAGTGGAAGCCAGTGGAGGGATTGGCAGAGAGGGGTGGAAGACACTGAATGGGGGCCAGTGGAGGGATTGGCAGAGAGGGGTGGAGGACACTGAATGGGGGCCAGTGGAGGGATTGGCAGAGAGGGGTGGAGGACACTGAATGGAAGCCGATGGAGGGATTGGCAGAGAGGGGTGGCAGATACAGAACGGGTTGGTAAGGTGGATGAGTCTGGCAGCAGCATTCATGATAGACTGAAGAGGGGATAGCCTGCGATGAGGTCAGCCAATGAGGAGGGAGTTACAATAGTCAAGGTGAGAGATAACAAGGGAGTGAATAAGTTGCTTGGTGATTTCCGAGGTTAGGAACGGGCGTATCTTGGAGATGTTGCGGAGGTGAAGTCTACACGATTTGGACAGTGATTGGATTTGGAGCTGAAAGGACAGATGGGAGTCTAGGATTACGCCTAGTATTGATATAGATTTTGAAGTTTCTTGGGGATAAGTAAGTGAGATACATTGAGTCATCAGCAGGTTAAATATACGAATGTATGATCCTTGAAAAGAAATATTGGGAACCTTCAAAGAGACTGAAGGTAACAAAAAGTGTATCCCAGTTACTGTTTGTGAACGATATACATTTGGGGATTTGAGTCTTGTATAATCTTTGTGAAAGTTTTGGTTAACGTTTCAATTCTCTCCAGTTCGGAATGTAGCCCTGAATGGCACGGCCTCCCAGTCCAGCACATTTTCTTCTTCTGGAGAAGCTGGTAACGCCAATGATGGCTCCCTGGCCAATAATCACATCGTGGGGCAATGTTCGATCACCCAAAGAGAGCTGTCGCCTTGGTGGATGGTGGACCTGAAAGCAGCCTACCAGATCTTCTCGTCGTCATCACTAATCGGGTGCTGGAATGTTGCAAAGAGAGAATTATTGGAGCGGAAATTCGTATTGGGAACTCGGTGGAAAATGGAGGAGTGTCAAATCCAAGGTCAGGTTTACTTGGAAAGTAACAGTTTTTAGAAAAAAATATTAGGAATGCCTTACTTTTTATTTCTTGAGCAGTTAGCAATTTCTGCCTCTCAGATAGTTAACCGCTGACAACAATGATCTTAGGGATAGAGTTCTCCCCAATGACCAAAAGTGTAAGAAGCATTCTTCCCAGTGGCCATTGTGCTGATGTACTGTGAACTGTATGTAGCATCCCCCTCTAGACAGCCAGGGGGCGCTGGATAGGTGTTTTTTTTTACTAAGAAAGGCTGAATAGCAGCCTGGGCATGAGTTAGCCTGGATGTGAGTCAGCCAAGTCAATTTAGGTCAGGGCTGAGGGCTCTGCAGGCCACTTCCCTGATACCTCCCCCTGATCTAGAGACTTGGAGAAGTCTCTGGAACTCAGCGGTTGGGGGTGAGGAGGGGCTGGCCTGCACACTTAAGGGACCCTGGCCAATCCCCAAGCAGGAGGCTTGGCATGGGGCCAGGGCAGCCTTTATGTGTGACAGAGCCTACTCAGCAGCAGGAGAGTTCAGGTGGAAGATGAAGTGAGAGGTGGAATTCAGGAGCCTGGAAGGGGGCCCATTGGGAAAGGGGCCCACCTCCAGGCTGAGGCTGGAAAAAAGGATCTCTCAACTTCAGCAGTCCCATGAGAGAGGACCATCTGTGCAGCAGGAAGGAGCCAGACCAGCAGAAGGCCTGAAGGCAACCACCAACCAAACAAGCTCACAGGAGAGGAAGAGTGAGTACTCTTACACTCCCTGGGCCGGATAAGGGGAAAAGGCATTTGGGTGGGAAACCTGACTAACCCCTTTTGGAACTGTTTGGTCTAAAGAGACAGATTTTAGGTCCCTTTGCCCAGGGATTCACCCAGTACAGCTGGATGAGGAGAGGATTCATCTGGGGTCTGGGGTGGTACATCAGGGGAAGCTGGAGAGCTCTCCAGGAAGAAAACCTTTTTTGCTGTAAAGAAACTTGTACACAGTTGCTAAAGAGTTGTCCTCAGTTGCAGATGAGCATCCCATACACCCCTCAACCCCATCCAAGTCCAATACCCCTAATAAAACTTAAAAAAAAAAAAACAAGCTCGAGGACTGTTTACTGTGAAAGCAAAATTGTCTGGCTGTGCAGGACTATAGGGGAACCCAAAACTTCAGTGACTCCTACAGGGGCAGTGCTACATGTAGATATAGTATATATTATTCCCTGGAACCAGAAAGTTATTTCAAAGGCTCTTCTATGTTAAAAAGGTTCAGTAAGGCTGATCTATACCAGCCTCTCTCAACCAGAGTGCCCGGGCTCCCTGGGGTGCCTTGAGGCTTCTTCAGGGGTGCCTTGAGGCTTCTTGTAGCCGCCAGCGTCCTGACAACCAATGACATCAATCAGGTGATAAGGAGGATGTCAGCTGCATGCACAGCATCCTTGTTTGCCCCTACCCTGCATCTGTCCATCAGTGCTGGGGTCACATTATCTCAGTGATGGAGAAAAAGGAGGATGGAGAAGGGAAACATTGGAATACTAGTCAGTACCAGTGTCTCAGTGATGGAGAAAAATTGAAGGAGAAGGGAAACATTGGAATACTAGTCAGTACCAGTGTGCAATTGAAGGAGAAGGGAAACAATGGAATACTAGTCAGTACCAGCGTGCAACTGAGGGAGAAGGGAAACATTGGAATACTAGTCAGTACCAGCGTGCAACTGAGGGAGAAGGGAAACATTGGAATACTAGTCAGTACCAGCGTGCAACTGAGGGAGAAGGGAAACATTGGAATACTAGTCAGTACTAGCGTGCAATTGAAGGAGAAGGGAAACATTGGAATACTAGTCAGTACCAGCATGCAACTGAGGGAGAAGAGAAACATTGGCATACTAGTCAGTACCAGCGTGCAACTGAGGGAGAAGGGAAACATTGGAATACTGGTCAGTACTAGCGTGCAATTGAAGAAGAAGGGAAACATTGGAATACTAGTCAGTACCAGTGTACTGTAATATATATATAGTGAAGGAAATGCATATTTGCTCCCCCGGCTGATGTTGCTGAATGATCGGTCTAACAATGGAATGTTTGCCCCTCACACAGAAATGATCGGTCTAACAATGGAATGTTCGCCCCTCACACAGAAATGATCGGTCTAACAATGGAATGTTCGGTGTAACACTGAGACACAGAATACAACAACAAATTCAGCAGAAATGCGTCTAACAAATGATGACTGATCTGCATGTTTATGAGGGAAAGAAGGATTTGATCCCCTTCACAAAACATGACTTAGTACTTGGTGGCAAATCCCTTGCTGGCAATCACAGAGGTCAGACATTTCCTGGAGTTGGCCCCCAGGTTCGCACACATCTCAGGAGGGATTTTGGCCCACTCCTCTTGGCAGATCCTCTCCAAGTCATTAAGGTTTGGTGGCTGACGTTTGTGGAGGAAGCTTAACATTCGTTGCCAGATTTTCAAATCAGATGAAGGTCTGGAGACTGGCTAGGCCACTCCAGGACCTCAATGTGCTTCTTCTTGAGCCGCTCCTTTGTTGCCTTGGCCGTGTGTTTTGGGTCATTGTCATGCTGGAACACCCATCCACCACCCATTTTCAATGCCCTGACTGAGGGAAGAAGGTTCTCACCCAAGATTTGAGGGTATGTTGCCCCGTCCATCGTCCCTTTGATGCAGTGCAGTTGTCCTGTCCCCTTAGCAGAAAAACACCCCCAAAGCAGAATGTTTCCACCACCATGTTTCACAGTTGGGATGGTGTTCTTGGGGTCATAGGCAGCATTCCTCCTCCTCCAAACACGATGAGTTGAGTTGATGCCAAAGAGATGGATTTTGGTCTCCTCTGACCACAACACTTCCCACCAGTCCTCCTCTGCATCATTCAGATGTTCAGTGGCAGACTTCAGACGGGCCTGGACATGTGCTTTCTTGAGCAGAGGGACCTTGCGGCACTGCAGGATTTTAGTCCTTGTCGGCGTAGTGTGTTACCAATTGTTTTCTTGGTGACTGTGGTCCCAGCTGCCTGGAGATCATTGACAAGATCCTCACGTGTAGTTCTGGGATGATTCCTCACTGTTCTCATGATCATTGACACTCCACGAGGGGAGATCTTGCATGGTGCACCAGACCTAGGGAGACACTTGTTTTGTGTTTCTTCCATTTGTGAATGATTGCACCAACTGTTGTCACCTTCTCACCAAGCTGCTTGGCCATAGTTTGGTAGCCCAGTCCAGCCTTGTGTAGGTCTACCATCTTGTCCCTGACATCCTTGGACAGCTCTTTGGTCTTTGCCATGGTGGACAGTTTGGAATGCACATATTTTATGTAGCGGTATTTATTTGATTGATTATTGTTTATGATTTTTTAGTGTACAGCGCACTAATTGTTTGTATACATAAATGCGGTTGGACTTTGATTTTTACGCCCTGCTCATCATCAGGTGTGGGGTGATAACTTCTATGGAATCTGGAGAGTCCCTCTTCTTCTCTTGTAATGGAATGGTTGGCCGATATGTGACGGTGACAGTCCCGAGGCGGACCGAACATCTCATCCTGTGCGAAGTTCAGGTCTTCGGATTGCCTGAGACATCTAACGGTAGGATTTGTCACTTGTCCTTCAAATGACTGAAGCTACGGGAAAATGGCGACCGACCAGCGCACAGACTCGTGCGTTGTAAATGCAAAATTAATGCAAATGAATGGCCCCGTTGGGTCCCCCACCGTGGCAGAACGACTTTTAGTGCGTAATCGTAGAGGTCCCGTGGGTTCGGCCTGAGGGGGTTCTTCTAGGGGTCGAGTGAAAGCCATTCCTCAATCATTTTGCGTTGACAATGTATAAACACAATACACCAAGGAGGGCGCCCGGCGCACGATCAACATGACCGAATAATATGAATAAATACAAAAGTAAAAGTAGTAAGAGCATTGTACACAAACCGAGGAACCGGAGGATCTCACACACGGGACAGCTCTTCTGGTTCAAAAGAGTGTTTCGGGGGACAGGACCCCTTTTATTTTTTTCTTCCAAATACGACATGAATGCGCCTTTCACAAATCGACGGCTACAGCTTTTGATCACGGGGTCCTGGCCGGAGATTACCCTCCGGCACCCAGCGATCGCCGAGGAACACTGACAGGGGAGAGGTCTGTATGTAAACAATACAGATCTATCCCCTGTCAGCAAGGACATGCTGCTTTGTATGGCTCTGTATAGCAGCATGCCCACAGTGAAGCACACACACAGCACACAGTTAACCCTTTAATCCCCAAGATATTAACCCTTTCCTGCCCAGTGCCATTAGTAAAGTGTCAGGGCTTTTTATTAGCATTGATCACTGTATTGGTGTCACTGGGGATGTCAGTGACACCAAGTCAGTCCCCCCCCCCCTCCAGTGTCAGAATGCCCGCCGCAGTCCCGCTATAAGTCATGATCACCGGCATTACTAGTTAAGACAGTTAAGACTAGTTTAGCGCAGACAGGAGTGGGAGACATTTTGGCCGAAATTTGACTTTTTAATTTTTTTTTACTGGATGTGTTTAATAGCAAAAAAGTCAAAAATGTTTTTTTTTTCAAAATTGTCGGTCTTTTTTTTGTTTATGGTGCAAAAAATGTAAAACCCGTACAGATGAAATACCACTGAAAGAAAGCTCTATTTGTGGGGGGAAAAGGACATCATTTTCATTTGGGTGCTGCGCTGCACGACCGCGCAATTGTCATGGAAAGTAATGCAGTGCCTTATCGCAAAAAGTGGCCTGGTCAGGAAGAGGGGGGAATCCTCTGGAGGGGAGTGGGGGATCCCCTGGAGGGGGAGGGGGGAATCCTCTGGAGGGCAAGGGGGGGGGGGAATCCTCTGGAGGGGGAGAATCCTCTGGAGGGGGGAGGGGGGAATCCTCTGGAGGGGGGGAGGGGGGAATCATCTGGAGGGCGAGGGGGGAATCCTCTGGAGGGCGAGGGGGGAGGATCATCTGGAAGCACAGGAGAGGGATCCTCTGGAGGGCGAGAGGGGGAATCCTCTGGAGGGGGGATCCTCTGGAGGGCAAGGGCGGGGAATCCTCTGGAGGGGGATCCTCTGGAGGGCGAGGGCAGGGAATCCTCTGGAGGGGGAGGGGGGATCCTCTGGAGGGCAAGGGGGGGGAAAATCCTCTGGAGGGGGGAGAATCCTCTGGAGGGCGAGGGCGGGGAATCCTCTGGAGGGGAGAGGGGGAATCCTCTGGAGGGTGAGGGGGGGAATCCTCTGGAGGGTGAGGGGGGGAAATCTCCTCTGGAGGGCAAGGGCTGAAAATCCTCTGGAGGGCGAGGGGGGGGAAATCTCCTCTGCAGGGCGAGGGGGGAAAATCCTCTGGAGGGGGAGGGGGGAAAATCCTCTGGAGGGGGAGGGGGGAATCCTCTGAAGGGGGCAGGGGGATCATCTGGAGGGGGAGGGGTCTATTTTAATGCAGTGAAGTCTAGAACTATGTCAGATATGAAACGTTTTTCCCGTCACTTTTGTTTTCCAGGAAAACTCATCAGTATGGATGCCAACCTACCAGAAGTTCCAGATGGAGGTAAGTTTTTCCTTCCTTCCATCGGGGTTCTCCAGACTGTGGCCCCAGGGCAGAATGAGGCTCTTTGCTTGCCTTTATGTGGCCTTTGGGGCATTATTTCCTCCTACTGACAACAACAATAAGGCGCCATTCTTTCCACCGACACCAACAGTGGGGCTATGATTGCCGACCCCCAGCTGAAAACAACAACCCCGGGATGATGGCTGTAGCTGCCGCCATCATCCCGGTATAACCGCCGAAATTCCAATGATGTGATTTGGCGACCCGGTCACACTGCCATGCGACTTGCAAGTCACACCCCGTTTTCCTCAATTAAAGCGGTCCTATTGGTGCGATTCCCACCTGCTTGGAGCGCACCGATTTCTCTAGTAGTCCATGCGCCACTTCAGGTGCGACCTGCATAGACCTCTAGGCTCGATGCCTTGCCAGTCGCACCTCAAGTTGGAATAACATCCGAAATGGTGCGACTTCCCCGGAAGTCAGATGGGTGTGACCGCAGGGTAAGGGGTTTATAAATACGAGACCCACACAAGTACCATTAGGGTTCAGGTCCCTCCGGGAACATTTCTAACTCTATTGTTTTTTTTTTGTTTACCTTTTCAGCACCTAATGTGGCCCTAAAAGGAGTGTCCTCCCAGTCCAGCCTCTACAACCATTTTGGGGATTCCAGGAACTCCATTGGTGGTTCTCTTTCCGGCGACTATTCCAAGATGCAGTGCAGCCAAACTATCTTTGAATTATGTCCTTGGTGGACAGTAGATTTGAAGGAGGTCCATGTGGTCTTCTCTGTGGGTGTCACCAACAGGGAGGACTGTTGTTGGGAGCGGATCAATGAGGCCGAGATCCGGATAGGAGATTCCAGAGAATGGGGGACCAATCCCAGGTGGGTATGAAATAAAAATAATCAAAATGCTTTCCTATGTTAAGAAAAAAAGCCCGAAAGCTAATTTTAGAACCTAAAACATCTTTTGGACCCACAACATACTATGTGTCAATCATTCGGGACCGACACCTGACCTCCACCCTACTGATCACCTTTGGGTTGAATTGGAAGGCTGATGGTAAGGCAGGCCTTCTCATCCAACATCAGTGCCGGACCTCACAAATGTTCCTTCAGCTCTGGGGTCCCCAGACTTTCTAAACAAAAGGGGCCAATTTACTGCCCTTCAGACTTTGAGGGCCAGACTGTGGCCAACGGAAGTAGAAAAGGTCCTGACGTCAGTGGGAAAGAAATAATACCCCGTTGTTTGGTGTCAGTGGGGGGAATTGTGTCCCATTGTTGATGTCATTGGACCCTATCATTTGTGTCACTGGAAGGAATTGTGCACCATCATTGGTGTCATTGGACCTTATCATTTGTGTCACTGGAAGGGATTGTGCCCCATCATTGATGTCATTGGACCCTATCATATGTGTCACTGGAAGGAATTGTGCACCATCATTGGTGTCATTGGACCCTATCATATGTGTCACTGAAAGGAATTGTGCACCATCATTGGTGTCATTGGACCTTATCATTTGTGACACTGAGGAGAATTCTGCCCCATCAATGGTGTCATTGGACCCTATCATTTGTGTCACTGGAAGGGATTGTGCCCCATCATTGGTGTCATTGGACCCTATCATATGTGTCACTGGAAGGAATTGTGCACCATCATTGGTGTCATTGGACCCTATCATTTGTGTCACTGGAGGAATTGTGCACCATCATTGGTGTCATTGGACCCTATCATTTATGTCACTGGGAGGAATTGTGCCCCATCATTGGTGTCATTGGACCCTATCATTTGTGTCACTGGGAGGAATTGTGCACCATCATTGGTGTCATTGGACCCTATCATTTGTGTCACTGGAAGGGATTGTGCCCCATCAATGGTGTCATTGGACCCTATCATTTGTGTCACTGGAAGGGATTGTGCCCCATCAATGGTGTCATTGGACCCTATCATTTGTGTCACTGAGAGGAATTGTGCACCATCATTGGTGTCATTGGACCCTATCATTTGTGTCACTGGAAGGGATTGTGCCCCATCAATGGTGTCATTGGACCCTATCATTTGTGACACTGAGGAGAATTCTGCCTCATCAATGGTGTCATTGGACCCTATCATTTGTGTCACTGGAAGGAATTGTGCCCCCTGTATTTATTGCAATATGTTTCCGTTTTGAATTTGATTCGAAAATAACAAATATGCAAAACAAATTCTGAAAACAAATGTTTCTGGTTTGTTCAAATCCTTTCTAATCTATTCTATTTTATGTTTATCTTCTTCTTCTCTATATTTTATTCTATTCTATTCAGCAGCCTAAGTAGGAATCATCTTCAGGGGCGGACTGACAACTCATGGGGCCCCCGGGCAATAGGGGATCATGGGACCCCCTGTGTCCTTGCCCAAACTCAAACTCAAAAAAGCCTATGAAAAAGGTACCAGGGGCATCTCATGGGGCCCCCTACTGACCCCGGGGCCCTTGGGAAGTGCCCGATTTTCCCAATGGTCAGTCCCCCCCCTGCTCATCTTACTCCAATTTTATACCTTACTGTATTTATTGCAATATGTATCCATTTCAAATTTGCCTTCATTTTTTAATTCAAATTCGTTTTCCAATTCGTATAAGTCAAATATTTTATTTCGGTCTATTCTAATCTATTCTTTTATGTTCTGTTTTAGTGTATTCTATTTTATTATTATTTTATTTTCTATTCTATTGTATTCAGCAGCCTAAGTAGGAATCTTCACCTTGTACTCCTTACTGTGTTTTCATATCTATTTTGGGTTCGTTGAAATTGGTTACTATTGTGATTGGGAAATTTGGAAAATTCTGAAAAAAATGTGATTCTTTAAATGTGGTATTTGGACAGGTGTGCGGTCATCTATTCGCTGGGCCCCGGAGAGACCGCCATGTTCAACTGTAAAGGAATGAAGGGGAAATACGTGACGGTGATCATACCGGACCGGGAAGAGAAGCTCTCTCTCTGCGAAGTCCAAGTGTTCGGTCTGCCGGCGCCCCCCGAAGGTGAGATGTCTGGAGGTTGTAACAGCACAAGTACAATGACCCGGCATATAAATCATCACTTCTGGGGCCCTACTGTCCCTTTTCATCCGCCTCCGTGGAGGAAGGAGCTAAGGGAGTGCGGTCCACACTGCATTACCTTCACTGGAGGACAGCTGAGACATTAGGGGTCTTTTGGACCCCTGATGTCTCATTAAGGAGAACCGATCATCAAAAAAATGCATCATATAAGGGACATTAGTATGTTGTAAAAAAATTAAACCCAAATACACTATATTGCAAAAAGTTTTGGCCCCGCCCTCCAAATCATTAGATTCACAGTTACATAGTTAGTCTGGCTGAAAAAAGACAAAAGTCCATCCAGTTCAACCATAGAATAAAAGAATTTTATAATCCTACACCCACAGTTGATCCAGGAGGAACACTCTTTTTACAAATTATATGAAAAATATTTTTAAAAATTTTCAAATATACTGTAGGTCTTTAAAACTACAAATCTACATTTTTGGAATGCATTTACAAATATAAGTAAAAATATATGTTAAAATCACTTTTTATGTGAAAAAAAAACTGAATATATTTTTAAAAACTTTTAAAAATAAGTTTTTAAAAATATATTCAGATTTATTTTTAACATATAAAAAAGTCAATTTAGGATATATTTTTACATAGATTTGTAAATGCATTCCAAAAATGTAGATTTGTATTTTTAAAGACATATGGTATATTTGAAATGTATTTTTTTTTGCATATATTTTGTAATGAAAACACATTTTAACATGATATATATATATATTTTTTTTTTTTTATTTATGAAATATATTGAATACGGCCAAAATTGTAGCATTTCAAATATATGACAATATATTTGGGAAGAATATTTTTAAAATACATTTCAAATATTTTTCTTCCATAAAGACATACAGTATATTTAAATGTATTTTTTAATTGTTTGCATATATTTTGTAATAAAAACACATTTCAAACCACACACAAAAAACTGGAACTATCACTGTTCTCTTGAGTGTCTGCTTTCAGAACGAAATAGGTTTTGGGGTTTTATGTAATCTTCTGATCTAAAATTTTTTCTCTTTTTAATGCAAGCAAAAAATGCAAAAGAAATTCCGATAGAAGGGTTTTAAAGTAGCTCTGAAATGATGAAAAATTATTTTCCATGGAAGCAGTTGGAGGAACAGTGTGACCGTTTTGTTTACATCTTCAAAAGCTTGTTGTATCTTTTTCACTTTCAGAAAATCCTCTGCCGGAAATAACCGAGAAGGTAGTAATGAGAGAAGGTAAGTCCCAGATCTGGTCTCTAGTCCATTGACAATCATTTCTGTAGCTTTGCATTCCTCCTACTACAGGTTTCCTTTAAAGGAAGAAACAAAGTCCCACCTTGAAGACTGCTTTAGACATTTTTGGTGTCCTCCTTAGTGTGTTCCTTTAGTGGCCATCCAAGTCCTCCTTGGTGTACTCCTTTTTGTGGCCATCCAAGTCCACTTTTTGGTGTGCTCCTTAGTGGCCCTGCAAGTCCTTTCCTTGTGCTTTTAGTGTCCATGCAAGTCCACCTTGGTGTGCTCCTTAGTGGCCATCAAAGTCCTCCTTAGTGTGTACCTTTTAGTAGCCCATGCAAGTCCACTTGGTGTGCTTCTTTAGAGGCCATGCAAGTCTTCCTTGGTGTGTTCCTTTAGTGGCCATGAAAGTCCTCCTTAGTGTGCTCCTTTAGAGGCCTGCAAGTCCTACTTGGTGTACTCCTTTAGAGGCCATGCAAGTCCTCCTTGGTGTACTCCTTTAGTGGCCATGAAAGTCCTTCCTTGGTGTGCTCCTTCAGTGGCCATCCAAGTCCTCTTTGGTGTGCTCCTTTAGAGGCCATCCAAGTCCTCCTTGGTGTGCTCCTTTAGAAGCCCTGCAAGTCCTCCTTGGTGTATTCCTTTCGAAGCCCTGCAAGTCCTCCTTAATGTGCTCCTTTAGTGGCCATGCAAGTACTCCTTGGTTCCCCAGAACAAGCAGCTTGCTATGGGGGCACTTGAGCAGGCTCGCTCCTGAGCTTCTGCTCTGTGTCTATTCACACAATAGAGTGCGCCTTGGCCCCACCCCTGCTCTCTCCTCATTGGCTCACTGGCTGTGATTGACAGTGGGAGGAGGTACAGACCCAGGAGAGCTGAGAATCTCATACACACTTGATCAGGATTGGACTTTTTTTTTTTTTTTTTTTTATATACGTGATGGTCAAAAACCTTGAGCCTGTAGAGCCACTTTAATATTTGTGCTTTTTCTTCAGGTCTTAGTGGACAATCATTAGTATTTCCAGAGGAAGGCATTCAGGATTACGCAGTCTTACACCCAAGTGTACCGATAGACTTGACCAAGTTCACCCTTTGTCTCCGCGTCTCCACCGAGTTTGTCCGGCCGCCGGGAGGTCATCCTCTTCTCCTATCACAATGACCGAGATGAGTTAAATGTTTGGAGAGAACTAGACGGCCAGCTTTCCCTGTATCTCGGCAGCAGTGAACTTGCAGCAAAATTCTCCTTACCAGCCTCAGCACCTTTGGGAATCATATCTGCGTGACCTGGGAGTCTTCGTCAGGCTTGACGGCCTTTTGGTTCGATGGCAAGCGCTCTGCCAGTAAAATTTACCGGAAAGGTCATCAGGTTCTTCCAGGTGGAAGGGTGATCCTGGGCCAAGACCAAGACAAATTCGGGTCCAGTTTTGACGCCAAACAAAGCTTGGTGGGTGAAATTTCAGATGTCCAACTGTGGAATTATGTTTTACCTCCCCATGCCATCCAAAAGGTCTACAAAGGAAATTCTGGGACTTCAGGGAACATCATCAACTGGAATTCTATTAAGTACGCTTTATATGGAAATGTCATTACACAGTAATTGCAGATGTATCAGCGCCAGTTCATGGTCAATGTTTCTCGCTGGCTGTCATTTGTTTTTTTAATTTTTCTTTACAATTTGTGGAACACGACTTCCATGTTCCCAGTTCATCACAGATATATCAGGATATGGACAACCTGAGGGATATTTGGTGTTCAGCATTTCAGTTTGTTCTCTTCCACACTTGGTGAGGGAAGTAATATTCCTCCTTGTTTTGTAAATGGAATCTTTTGTATTCTTTTCATATGAATCACACCGATACTAATAAAGTGATACATTCTGAGAGTGTACTGGTCTGACTTCTAGCAACAAAATGCTTTATAAACTGTCTTTGTAGCATTATTCACATCATGTGACTCCACAGGATTACCTCTCGTGGCATCCAATGGCAGAGCAGCACGGAGAAGGAGAAAAGGAAAAACTTTCTGCTAAATGGGGGAGGGGGGCATCAAAATCCAGGTTCACTCAATATGACATATACTGTAACATGACGTATACAGGGGGGCAAAAAAAGTATTTAGTCCCCACCAATTGTGCAAGTTCTCCCACTTACAAAGAAGAGAGAGGCCTGTAATTGGCATCATAGGGAGACCTCAACTATGAGAGACAAAATGAGAAAACAAATCCAGACAATCTCATTGGCTGATCTGGAAAGAATTTATTTGCAAATTACGGTGGAAAATAAGTATTTGGTCACCTACAAACAAGCAAGATTTCTGGCTCTCACAGACCTGGACCTTCTTCTTTAAGAGGCTCCTCTGTCCTGCACTCATTACCTGTATCAATGGCTCCTGTTTGAACTTGTTATCAGTATAAAAGACACCTGTCCACAACCTCAAACAGTCACACTCCAAACTCCACTATGGTGAAGACCAAAGAGCTGTCAAAGGACACCAGAATCAAAATTGTAGACCTGCACCAGGCTGGGAAGACTGAATCTGCAATAGGCAAGCAGCTTGGTGTGAACAAATCAACTGTGGGAGCAATAATTAGAAAATGGAAGACATACAAGACCACTGATAATCTCCCTCGATCTGGGGCTCCACGCAAGATCTCACCCCGTGGGGTCAAAATGATCACAAGAACGGTGAGCAAAAATCCCAGGACCACACGGGGGGACCTAGTGAATGACCTGCAGAGAGCTGGGACCAACGTAACAAAGGCTACCATCAGTAACACACTATGCCGCCAGGGACTCAGATCCTGCAGTGCCAGACGTGTCCCCCTGCTTAAGCCAGTACATGTCCGGCCCGTCTGAAGTTTGCTAGAGAGCATTTGGATGATCCAGAAGAGGATTGGGAGAATGTCATATGGTCAGATGAAACCAAAATAGAACGGTTTGGTAGAAACACAACTCGTCATGTTTGGAGGAGAGAGAATGCTGAGTTGCATCCAAAGAACACCATACCTACTGTGAAGCATGGGGGTGGCAACATCATGTTTTGGGGCTGTTTCTCCACAAAGGGACCAGGACGACTGATCCATGTACAGGACAGAATGAATGGGGCCATGTATCGTGAGATTTTGAGTGCAAACCTCCTTCCATCAGCAAGGGCATTGAAGATGAAACGTGGCTGGGTCTTCCAACATGACAATGATCCCCCAAACATACCGCCCGGGCAACAAAGGAGTGGCTTCGTAAGAAGCATTTCAAGGTCCTGGAGTGGCCTAGCCAGTCTCCAGATCTCAACCCCATAGAAAACCTTTGGAGGGAGTTGAAAGTCCGTGTTGCCCAGCGACAGCCCCAAAACATCACGGCTCTAGAGGAGATCTGCATGGAGGATGGGCCAACATACCAGCAACAGTGTGTGCCAAACTTGTGAAGACTTCCAGGAAACGTCTGACCTCTGTCATTGCCAACAAAGGATATATAACAAAGTATTGAGATGAACTTTTCATATTCACCAAATACTTATTTTCCACCATAATTTGCAAATAAATTCTTTCCAGATCAGCCAATGGGATTGTCTGGATTTGTTTTCTCATTTTGTCTCTCATAGTTGAGGTCTCCCTATGATGCCAATTACAGGCCTCTCTCATCTTTGTAAGTGGGAGAACTTGTACATTGGTGGGGACTAAATACTTTTTTGCCCCACTGTGTGTATGTTAAGCGCAGCATACTAAGGCGGTACTCCCCCTGACAACGCTTTTATGTAGAAGGAAAGTGCCGTCTGTGTTTAGGCACAGGTATATTAAAAAAAATAAAATTAAAAAATGACAAAGCATAAGTAAAAAAAAAATATATATATATACACACACAGCTATTTTCAGTGGGAATGCGGGGTAACGCAGTTCCAGAACATCCAGCACTGAATGTAGTACAGTGCATGGCACACAGCAGGGTACAGGGCACAGAACATGGCACATGACATACAGCAGGGTACACAGCATAGTACAGGTCACACACACACACACAACAGGGCACACAGCAAGGCAGGGCACACAGCAAGGCACACAGCAGAGCACACAGCAGGGCACACAGCAAGGCACAGGGCACACAGCAGGGCACACAGCAAGGCATAGGGCACACGGCAGGGCACACAGCAAGGCACAGGGCACACAGCAAGGCACACAGCAGAGCACACAGCAGGGTACACAGCAAGGCACACAGCAGAGCACACAGCAGGGCACACAGCAAGGCACAGGGCACATAGCAGGGAACACAGCAAGGCACAGGGGCACACGGCAGGGCACACAGCAAGGCACAGGCACACAGCAAGACACAGGGCACACAGCAAGGCACACAGCAGGGCACAGGCACACAGCAAGGCACACAGCAGGGCACAGGGCACACAGCAAGGCACACAGCAAGGCACAGGGCACACAGCAAGGCACACAGCAGGGCCAGGGCACACAGCAGGGCACAGGGCACACAGCAAGGCACACAGCAAGGCACAGGGCACACAGCAAGGCACAGGGCACATAGCAGGGAACACAGCAAGCACAGGGCACACAGGGCACACAGCAAGGCACAGGGCACACAGCAAGCACAGGCACACAGCAAGGCACACAGCAGGGCACAGGGCACACAGCAAGGCACAGGGCACACAGCAAGGCACAGCAGGGCACAGGGCACACAGCAAGGCACACAGCAGGGCACAGGGCACACAGCAAGGCACAGGGCACACAGCAAGCACACAGCAGGCACAGGGCACACAGCAAGGCACACAGCAGGGCACAGGGCACACAGCAAGGCACACAGCAAGGCACAGGGCACACAGCAAGGCACACAGCAGGGCACAGGGCACACAGCAGGGCACACAGCAGGGCACAGGGCACACAGCAAGGCCCAGGGCACACAGCAGGGCACACAGCACACAAAGCGACACTTTATTTGTATTTACTGACATCAGCGGGGGGGCAGAATGTGAGTGAGGTCAGCGGGGGGGCAGAACTGTAACAGCAGGTTTTCCTTGGAACAGAAGGAGAGAGGGGGGGGGGGTGTCACTGTATGTGAACACAGCCACGGATTTCTCATATATCTCAGGCAAAAAATGATGAAACAAAAAAAAAAAAAAAAAAAACTAAGACCAGTGGATGATAAATTCCACCCAAACACATCCTGAAGGGGCCCCATCCAAATGCACCGTCAACAAGATTACCTGCTGGCTGGTACTGATAGGACAGTGCTGCAATGTAAATAATAAAAAGCAATATTAATATCAATTGTATATAAAACCCTCCAGACATTTTAAGAACTAGACGCACCTACTATGAGTGCGAAGCGATGACCACAAGGAATTTGTGTGAGAAAATGATAATCTGATAAAAATCAGGATTGAAATGTGAAAGACAGCCCAATATGGGGCAATATACCTAAAGAAGAAAACGTGTGCAAACCATTATAGTAAATTAAAAAAAATAAAAACAGAAAAACTAATAATAATAATAATAATATAAAAAAAGAAACTAAAGAAATAAAAACACAAAAAAAAAAAAAAACCCTTATTACCATGTGTGGCACAGAGACCTAAAACCAAAAACACCCTTACTAACCATGTGTTACAAGAAACAAAAAAATATTTTTAAGTGAATAAATAAATAAATGCATAAATATAAATAAATAAAACAAAGAGTTGCAAAAACTAAGTGGACTATATGATAAACCCACCAGGTCTATCCAAAGAAGCATGCTTGATGGCTGTGAGCGAAAAAAAATGAGCTTATTAGCCCTGATTATATATAGCTAGGGTGGCTTGAAAAAGCTCCAATCAGCTGCAGTCAAAAATTGTTCCAATCAAACGGACCAATAACATTTTGTTCTGACAAAAATCAGGATTGAGATGTGAAAGACAACCCAATATGGGGCAATATACCTAAAGAAAAAAATGTGTGCAAACCATTATCGTAATAATTAATAACAAAAAAAAAAAAAAAAAAAAGAAAACAAACTAATAATAATATAAGAAAAAGAAATGTAAAAAAACAAAACAAAAAAACTAACAAAAAACACCCTTATTGCCCATGTGTGGCACAAAGACCAAAAACCAAAAACACCCTTACTACCCATGTGTTACAAGAAACAAAAAAAAATACAAAAAGAAAAAATTTAAGTGAATAAATTATTAAATAAATAAATGCATAAATATAAAAAAATAAATAATAAAAGAAAAAAAAGGAAAAAAAATAAAAAAGGGTTTGCTAAATTTAAGTGAAATATATGATAAACCCACCGGGTCTATATGATTGGACAGCACAATGCTCATTGACTTATATCGGAAGTTCGGGCATCACCAGGGATATCATACAATTAGTTTTGGTTCAGACACCATGGGGGAGTTATTTTACTAAAACTGGAGAGTGCAGAGCCTGGTCAATGAGCGTTGTGCCATCCAATCATTTCCCCCCTGATGAAGCCACGTGACCCGGTGGCGTAACGCGTAGGGGAGGGGCTCTGACGTCACGATGCTTAAAGGAAAATACACAGCAAGTATACGGAGTGTGGAAAACACATAGAGGATTCTATATCATTGCATTTTATGAATTTTAAAATGTGAGTG